GGAAAAATACCCTGCCACAGCTGGGGTTCGAACTGGCAACCCTTCGGTCTCTAGCCGGACACCCCGCCGCTAGACCACAAGGAAATTCCCATTAGCATAAGGCAACCTGTACTCTCAACTTCTACACTACTCCCTCCTTCACAAAGTCTTCGACTCCGAAGACATCGACAACAAAGAATCGATATCTCCATCTCTATCTATAGCTTGTACCCTATGGGTGGTCAATGGTCAGTGGCCAAATCTGTAATTAGAAGGAATAAGAACAATTAACCCCACTAAGTACCATCGCTGAGGTTTCCAAGAAGCTTTTTACATTTCGAAAACACGTATATCACGGATCACAGTATATTGTACATACACGTGTATTCCTATTTATGTAATGATAGAATATTGCATGTGAATCCACATGTCGGACACTTACACCCTTGTATAGAAGGTTTGCATGTTTACATCTCTATAGTAGGCCTACACATCCGTATGCACATGCGAACTCACCATGTCACGTGACACTTGTACCGGCCCAATGGGCTCATATTTGAATATTATCAATATTAATGGTCCTTGACATGTATCAATGTATCAATTTCTTTTTAACAGAGGCTCTCGGACGATCCTGGGTTCATCTCCGCATTCCTATTTAAATCAAATAAGTATGTCTGCACTCACAATTAGCACAGAGTCCGTGCAACTAGTAACAGTTATTTCTATGATAATCCAGCTACACATGCAAGCAAACTTTTAAAACATTTTTATTTATAACAAGAACAACTTATAAACAGGGAGAGTAAAATGTCGTACAAAAACTCCCGTCATACTACACATAGGTTACAAGTTTAAGGCACAATGAAAATGACAGCGGAAGTAAATTCACATGATTTAATGAATCAGACAGCGTGATTCAGCATTAAATCAAACGTCACGAGGCTGCGTGTGTTACAACCATCACAGGGCCCCGAAAACTGCTGGTACAACCAACAAAGGGACACAAGAATTTCTGGTTCAACTACCACTAGAACCCGAGAACTTCTGTCTTAACTATCACTGGGACCCGACAACTTCTGTCATAACTATCACTGGGACCCGACAACTTCTGTCATAACTATCACTGGGACCCGACAACTTCTGTCATAACTATCACTGGGACCCGACAACTTCTGTCATAACTATCACTGGGACCCGACAACTTCTGTCATAACTATCACAGGGACCCGACAACTTCTGTCATAACTATCACAGGGACCCGACAACTTCTGTCATAACTATCACTGGGACCCGAGAACTTCTGTCATAACTATCACTGGGACCCGACAACTTCTGTCATAACTATCACTGGGACCCGAGAACTTCTGTCATAACTATCACAGGGACCCGACAACTTCTGTCATAACTATCACAGGGACCCGAGAACTTCTGTTACAAATACCTAAGGACACCAAAACCTCTGGTACCACGAACGCAGTAATCCAAATTATCCTAACGTTCTATCGATTTTTATAGACCGTCTTAAGTCGACTCCAAACGATATTTAAAAGTCGACAGAATGTCAGAATAATTTGGAATACTACCAGAGGGACCCGGGAGTTCCTAGATTAACGCACGCCCGAGAATTTCTAGAACTACCACAGGGACGCGAGATCTTGTCATACAACTAACACAGGGACCCGAGATCTTGTCATACAACTAACACAGGGACCCGAGATCTTGTCATACAACTAACACAGGGACCCAAGATCTTGTGGTACAACTAACACAGGGACCAGAAACCTTATGGTACAACTAACACAGGGACCCGAAACCTTGTGGTACAACTAACACAGGGACCCGAAACCTTGTGGTACAACTTACACAGGGACCCGAAATCTTGTGGTACAATGAAGACAGGCATCAGAGAACATCTGGAACAATCAACACAAGGACCCGTGATCTTGTGGTACAATGAAGACGGACACTAGAGAACTTCGGAAACAACTGACACAGGGACCCAAGATCTTGTGGTACAATGAAGACGGACACTAGAGAACTTCGGAAACAACTGACACAGGGACCCAAGATCTTGTTGGTAGAACTTCGGAAACAACTGACACAGGGACCCAAGATCTTGTGGTACAACTAACACAGGGACCCGCGATATTTTGGTACAATGAAGACAGGCATCAGAGAACATCTGGAACAATCAACACATGGACCTGTAATTTTGTGGTACAATGAACACAAGGACCCGTGATCTTGTGGTACAATGAAGACGGACACTAGAGAACTTCGGAAACAACTGACACAGGGACCCAAGATCTTTTGGTACAACTACCACAGGGACCCGCGATCTTGTGGTACAATGAAGACGGACACTAGAGAACTTCGGAAACAACTGACACAGGGACCCAAGATCTTTTGGTACAACAGCCACAGGGACCCGCGATCTTGTGGTACAACTAACACAGGGACCCGCGATATTTTGGTACAATGAAGACAGGCATCAGAGAACATCTGGAACAATCAACACAGGGACCTGTAATTTTGAGGTACAATTAAGACAGGCACTAGAGAACTTCTCCTTTCCTGGACTCTTACTGAATAGTAATCTGTACAATACAAAACGTAAAATCATATCGGAACTGTATTAAAACAATGTTTAAACTAAACTAACATATGTAACCATACCGGACCCTGGAGGGTTTCACGTGCAGTTCAATTACGGCATGTACCAAATATAGCTATAGCTCGTGTCATGTACACTTTCGACACGTACCAAGAACAGTTCCTGCATGTATCATGTACAGTTAAGCTCGTGCCATGTATAATTACCATAATTATCATAGATATATATAGTTACAGAGTACAGTTTTGGTACGTGTCATTCGCAGAATAGGAACGAAACAAAACAAAAGACGGCGGCCTACTGTCTTCTGAGGGCACACTACCTCACCGAGGGGAACCCATACTCCAAGTATGAAGTTTCAGTGACGAATACTGTAGCATATTGAACTCAGACAACTTAGTTTTCCTTTGATGTGGGTCAATGGTAAAAATGTACATCAGAATCACCTACTTTTGATAGATGGCATATCGCATCACCAAAGTGAACCCATACCTCAAGTATGTAGTTCCGAGGACAAGTAGTGCAGTTAGTGTCCAGAAAACGTTTTCTTTGATGTAGGTCAAAGGTCAAAGTGTAGTTCGCATAGAGTGACCTACTTTTGACACATTACACAATACCTCAACACGAGGAACCATACCCAAAATATTAAGTTCCAGTAACAAGCAGTGAAGGAGTCCGGACAAGATAGCAGAAGGACGGACGGGCGGACGGACACAATCCCCTGTTCCCGAGAAGTATGAAGAGTAGACTTTGTTATTTCATCCTATCTAAATAATTAATTCTGATGTTCTGGTCTACATTTACATTAGAGTGAAGACGTTCGATTTAATTGGTACATACCCGAAGTAAAATGCAGATGTACTCGTCAATTCCTGACACCAATTCGTACCACAGCAGGCGAACATTTTGTGGACGTTATACAGGAGGAATGCGGTATCGTTTGTAGTACAGTTCCATGCGTGCATATGCTACTGCAGCAATTATACAAAAACCTTGGGCTATATCAATATACATATACATGCTATATTGTACTTCACGAACTCGGTGTAACCTACGCCAGAAATGATATCTATCGTTTATAGGTGTAAACCGAAGGACGTCATCAGATAATCGTCAACCCTGAGCTATCTATGCCATTGTTTTAGTTGAAGCATCGACAGGTTATACAATAACATGAATATGGTTGAGAAATGGCACAGTTTCCAATTGGTCATGGGTTTCAAAATACGATGTCTTCGAAGGAATATCACACTGACTCTCTTATCTGAAGACACTTTCTGTATGAAGAGATTTGATTTTGACTACTGTAGTCTGAAAATGCTTTCATGCGTTTCACTGTCAAGTTTGTCCTTGGGACGCAAAATAAATACTCTTATTTTCAACATTAAATTAAGCAAACATTAAACGGCTGACGTACTACAACGTGACAAGGTTTACTCTATTAATAGAAATCCATAAAACCGACATATTCTTGTGTCTGAACTGTCTATACAGGTAGCTGAGTGGCCTGTACTGAGAGTGTAAGTGGTTCTATATTAGCCCAGTGTTAGAGCAAGGTAAACATAGCTACAACCACATTTAGACGGAGTTTTCGTTACATTTATAATACAAGGTAAAACACAACGGAGTCCATTATGTGTATTTTACACTCCATCGAATTATCACGTTGTGACAAATCATCACGATGCAAAACATTATCGACAAATTATCACGATTTTCCCTTATACTACAGCCTATTTTGGATATACGATATGAATTCTCTCTCAAAATATTTTTTTTGTTATCACCTAAATTACATAGAAAGGAAACAGAGTTGCCACTTCACGGAACACTTGAATCTGTTTCAAAGTCCTCCACGCTGAGCCTCTATACAGGTCCAAATTATTATATATTGCAAAATATACAGTACAAAGATCATCCTCGGTCCCATGTGAAAATAGTGCAATTTTCACCTGGGACCGAGGATGGTACAGCACAACCATCTCAGAAATCATATATGTGTTAGATAAACTACATGTTATTGATAGCAAACACTGGGACTTGGTACAGATCCAAACCCACGGCTCATAATATACGTGCGAAGTCCCTGTGACAACAACTGACACGTGCAACGTTATACAGTGGCCACGAGTGTGTCTATACCATCCGTTGTCACGTGCAGAAACTGTTGATAAATACTTTATACAACCATAATGTTCCGGTGTAGCTGATCACGGATTGTGGTAAATCATTTTAAAATCTTCATTTCGGGAGAAAGGGCATGAAATGAGACTGTGATATAATTTCCATACTGTTCGATATACTGTAAGGAACAATAGAACCGAGCACCTGTCCCACGACTGTTACACTATGTATCTATCGCTACAAACCAGTCACGGTTTGTAGATTCGGTATTTATACCTACCCCATACACATCTCGGCAAAATCTGATGTAATGTTAAATAATCCGTCAAGTCAACAGCACCATGATGATGATAGATCCATGAGTGTGTGTCGCTATACACTGTACACGTGGTTACAGTTACACATATGGCAAACCTTCCCTGACACGTGTGTGTTGGTTAATGTACAACGGAAGTTACTTTGGAGTAAAGCACTGACTATGTTAATGTGAAACCGCGCAACGGTGTAACAGACTGTGACTGTGACCGTTTGACCGCCCTATATGATGACCAGACCAGACTGTTTGTGGAGACGGTTGTAGCCTAAGTCCCATTTTGTTACAATGTTTACTCCTAGCACGCTATATAATCCCCAGCTCTATTTTTTTTTAAATATTACTTTGTTATTATAAAAGTTTATAAATTGTATCTATTGATTTACATCTATCACAAGAGTAAAGATTGTTTATAGCGGAATCCTATTTCAATATATTCATTTGAATATCAAATTTCACAGCTGAATGTAATATTTACTAAGCCGAACTTTTCTGACGTTCAACCGCAATTTTACATACAGATCAATATAAAAAATCAATAGAATGTCAGAATAGTTTTGACTAATTTGTTATTTCAATGTCCACATTTACAATGTAAAATTGGTTCGATTCACATCACAAATACATTGTTATTCGTAATAAAAAGATCGAATAAATAAGCATATGAATCAGTATAAATTGATTGGTGGGGTGTTTATGTACATATATACTATCCAGGGGGTGGTTTCCTGGTAGTGTAAATGAAATCCTAGGGTTAATGAGGAAGTTCCTTAATTTCCTCTCAACATACAAAACTTGTGTAATATATACACTTCGTCTTTGTCTTTGGTAGGGTATACGTCCTTATGACTGGGTAAGTAAGATATTGACATTAAACATGAAACTGTCTATATACCTGTATAGCGAATTATTTCCATTCAAGTCATTTTGCTACTCTTTCGGTATAGTTTCTGGTATGGGAGTTATCTCCCTTAAATTCCAAAATAGTGCACGGGTGTACCTTGGTAGACGCATAAGAGTTCGTTTATATGCGTTTATATAAGTACATGTATGCGTGAAAAAAGCCGCATGTACTAAGGCAAGCTGGACAATTAAAGCACTTGTTAGTCTTTACAGTATGGCGAGTCATCTATATTTAAGTTTGCTTCGCAATGCCACAATGTAAACTAACAATAGGATGACGTGTGGTCAGAGTGTGGTAAGTGAGACAATATCGGTGACTGAATAATACCGTATCGGTTTACATTTTTGTTTCTTTTTTTTTTAACTTATAAGTGACATCATAATTTACTGTTGACAAAGAAACGACAACAAAACTGCTGTTCCACTTGACCGATTACTCGGTCGATAATGTTATAATAGATAATAATAATTATTATTATAAACCCAGTTATAATCAGCACATGTAAAATACACGGATAGGGAATGTAAGCGTAAACATGGATTTGTCCTTTTATAGCATTTATGGTCGTTATGAATGACACGGTTTTGCCGACAAACATAGTCAGTGTTGAATATAAGCTTCGAGTGCATCTGGACGTGTAATGCCTAATACCTTTCTGAGCTGATGTTTCCGGATCCATCTTAATCCTGACCCACTTGACTTAGTCTACCAAACAAAACGTCCTAACCTTAAATTTATTGTGTTTTAGCATGGTTCTATTTTTTCCAGTTTTGAGTTTATTGTAACCAAGCAAATCTGACTTCAACTTAAAATCAGCATTTTGCTTGGATAGTTATTTGATTTAAAACTATTTCAGATTTGATAAAATATCCCAACCATTTATGATTCTGTTGAAACCCAGTAGCCACTACTTAGAATTCTGTCCTGCTAGACGAATCTCTATGAATCATTCACAATTCACATCCGTTCCTACTTTGCTATTTTAGACGTAAAATAGTACTCTGATAGACTTTTCAACCCTTCTACATTTGCATGAAAATGGAAGAAGAAATTTGCTCGAAAAAAAAACTCTGCTAGATGAAGCAGAATATGAGTCGGATGAAGTTGATACACAACCCCAGAAACTGCAAAGACAAGGAATGTACTAATTAGTGGTTAAGAGTCATAGTGACTGATCTATATAATAACCTACATCATACAATGTAAATCTTACTACGCCGATGAAAACAATAATAGACTACACTTTGTATACCCGATGGGTAATGAGGAAGATACTCTCCATGTGGCACATATCCAATATTGCTTTGGTGACTAACACACACACACACACACACACACACACACACACACACACACACACACACACACACACACACACACAAAGTGGTCTTGTGTAGAAGTATTAAAATATGCCAAGTGCCAAGTTATCAAAACCGTAAAATACAATGTCAGATCCATCTCTTCTCCTATTGGCCGTTTATTGAATAACTAGTCTGGTATGAAGTATCAACTCCGTATTGAAAGCAATTGTATTCGATTTTTTTTCTTTATGTAAAGTAGTACTTTAACATTTGCTACAGGAAAATCAATACGTAATCTACTGACGGATCACAGATTTTACAAAGCGTTTGTACTCTTAAAATATTCACCCCAACCAATGGTCAGGCCACACAATCTTAATTCTATTTTGAAAAAAAAACCCTCTGAAATCTAAATAAGATATTTTCAAGCGATGGCATTATATTGTACATTTGCGTGAAACTTATTTTCGTCAAGGAATATTTGTTTGTGTTTATCAACATGGACGTATAACACATCTCTAACAGACCTTTATATTTACTAGCACAGCGACTGTAAGTTACTACGGTAACGTACATCTTCAACAAGATTTTTTTTGTTCTTGTTGACAAGAACAACAATGAAAAATTCCACGTTTCAATTTTCGTGATCAGAGTTTTACTTAAACGTTTTTGGAAGATATTGTTGTTTTTTCATAATCTTAGAGCAACTTCTGTAAAATGTTTCAGTAGGGAAAAACAAATAAATGAAACATTTAATAATTCATTGAACTATCTGAAGTGCTCTGTTTATAAAATACCTGCTACCTTGCTTTATTTCCCCTTTTGAAAAAAAACACAATGTCAATGGCATTAATTTGAATCTATGAAAATAACCAAAACTCATGGAGAAGACCCGATGACTGGAAATCATAGGAACTATTTGTAAGGAACGACAACTCTAGTTAGAAGATGAACTGAACTACACGTCAGTGTGATGATTTGATTGGTCAAAATATGTACATTAGCAATATGGCGGCGCCCATATCTTACTTTCACATTAGATGACGTAATTGGTAAATGTGTTTACATTTGTCGAAATATTCAAATTAGTTTTATCATCGTAGAACAGTGACGTGGAATTAAGATACAATTCATGAAATACTTCATAGATGATAATAAGGCTAGCGCTGTCACTGTAATATACATGTTATACACAGTTACTTAGCTCTGCTAGGAATAGAGATCACGCACATGTGTACTATATGTATGTATACTTACCTGTCTATATTCTACTTTGTAGCCCGGTACCAGCCTTAGGCTTTATTCCTTCGCTTTTATTTTCAATTTCAGAAAATATATCTGAAGTATGAGTGTTTAAAAGTTTAATTACGTGTATTATTTGTAGTAGGTATAACGTACTAAATTATTGTTTATATACTGTAACTTGTAAAATGTAATAACTATTATGTAATAAACACGTAAGTTAGAACTAATCCACCGACATTCCGTGTGATCCGACTGTATTTTTGATGTTTTCTATTCAATTGATATTATTTTTTTCACCTGTTCCATTTCAGGAAGGAGATACTGTTTTCACACCTGGTCATGTATCTTCAGAGTGGATGCTATCAAACTGGTTAAAGAAGATTACACCTCACTATAGAAAGTTTCAAAAGACACAAATTTATACAACAGTATCTCAAGTGTTGGCATCAGAACAACTTAAGGACCATGTTTTCAGGGCGGAGGCGTGGAGGGAGGGGTAATTTTGGAGTTCTACTGTTGGGGGCCCAGGTGATGAGGATGGGAGTACATAACATTCCTCCAGTCACCTTGGCGACAGTGGCCTTACAGGTGGCCATATATTTACAATTAGGTGACCTTCCAAAATGGTTTGGCCATCCTCAGAGTGTCTGTATGAGTGTGTACAAAGTCTGGTATAAAGGATACTGGAAGCTTTTGATACTGGCTGCTCTTACACATGGTGATGATATACATCTCTACTATAATATGGCATCAATGCTGTGGAAGGGGAGACAACTGGAAAGAAAATTTAAAAGCGTATACTTTGCCTTTCTTTTGGCAATATTTACAATACTGAGTGGGATTGCCTATGTAGCCCTTAATATGGCCTTCACCTTCATCACAGATGACCAGTCATATGAGTTAACATGCGCTGTTGGATTCTCAGGTAATAAATTGTATGTGATGTTGCTATCCATTTCACATTCAAATCAACCTTGCCAGCACCGTGATAAGTGATAAAGTATAAAAACTATTTCTTTTGAGATAAGGTCAAATATTACTATCACTTAACAGATACAACCATACCTGAGACATTTTTTGTAGTACTCTCCGTGACTTATGTTTCGTACCAACTAACATTAGTCTCTTGATATTACAGGTGTGCTGTTTGCCCTAAAAGTACTAGTGAGTCACTACAGTCCCCGAGGTACACAGTATATAATGGGATTCATCCCTGTTCCCAGTCGCCAGGTCTTCTGGGCAGAGTTGGTTCTCATACAAATCATCACCCCTCATGCCTCATTTACAGGTAAGCAGTGTGACGTTTTTAATAAAAAATATGTATTTGTTCCATTACATACTATTCATTGTGCACTAAACCTAGAGTATTAATGATGCACTTTGTGTGACACATTTTCATTTCTCCTGATGGAAATTGAACAATGGATGTCTGATTTACCATTATTATTTACGAGAATTATATACCCTCCACACTAATACATATACCCTCCACTGTATTCTATACCCTCAAAATTAGTATATACCCTCCACACTAATACATATACTCTCCACTGTATTATATACCCTCAAAACTAGTATATACCCTCCACACTGTTTTATACCTTTCATACTATTATGTTAGCTAATTACTATTATGTAACAACAGCACTAAAATATCCCTTTTACAATATTATGTACTATCCACACTATTACTTTTACTGTCCACACTGAGACGTACAATTCACACTATTATATGTTCTCCACCAAACTACTACATTCCCTCTATTTCTAGTACATAATAATAACTTAAGAGGCTTTGGATGTTTTACTCAATATTTTGTTGTAATATCACTCTCAGATGACTTAAATTGGATTTTATTTGTACTTTTGTTAAAGGACACCTGGCTGGGATACTGGTTGGTCTACTCTACATTAAAGGTCCATTGAAACCCCTCATGGATAGCTTTGTACCCACAGGTATTTGGTCTTCTCTACATTAAAGGTCCATTGAAACCCCTCATGGATAGCTTTGTACCCACAGGTATTTGGTCTACTCTACATTAAAGGTCCATTGAAACCCCTCATGGATAGCTTTGTACCCACAGGTATTTGGTCTTCTCTACATTAAAGGTCCACTGAAACCCCTCATGGATAGCTTTGTACCCACAGGTATTTGGTCTACTCTACATTAAAGGTCCACTGAAACCCCTCATGGATAGCTTTGTACCCACAGGTATTTGGTCTACTCTACATTAAAGGTCCACTGAAACCCCTCATGGATAGCTTTGTACCCACAGGTATTTGGTCTACTCTACATTAAAGGTCCACTGAAACCCCTCATGGATAGCTTTGTACCCACAGGTATTTGGTCTTCTCTACATTAAAGGTCCACTGAAACCCCTCATGGATAGCTTTGTACCCACAGGTATTTGGTCTACTCTACATTAAATGTCTACTGAAACCCCTCATGGATAGCTTTGTACCCACAGGTATTTGGTCTACTCTACATTAAAGGTCCACTGAAACCCCTCATGGATAGCTTTGTACCCACAGGTATTTGGTCTTCTCTACATTAAAGGTCCACTGAAACCCCTCATGGATAGCTTTGTACCCACAGGTATTTGGTCTTCTCTACATTAAAGGTCCACTGAAACCCCTCATGGATAGCTTTGTACCCACAGGTATTTGGTCTACTCTACATTAAAGGTCCATTGAAACCCCTCATGGATAGCTTTGTACCCACAGGTATTTGGTCTTCTCTACATTAAAGGTCCACTGAAACCCCTCATGGATAGCTTTGTACCCACAGGTATTTGGTCTACTCTACATTAAAGGTCCACTGAAACCCCTTATGGATAGCTTTGTACCCACAGGTATTTGGTCTTCTCTACATTAAAGGTCCACTGAAGTCCCTCATGGATAGCTTTGTACCCACAGGTATTTGGTCTACTCTACATTAAAGGTCCACTGAAACCCCTCATGGATAGCTTTGTACCCACAGGTATTTGGTCTACTCTACATTAAAGGTCCACTGAAACCCCTCATGGATAGCTTTGTACCCACAGGTATTTGGTCTTCTCTACATTAAAGGTCCACTGAAACCCCTCATGGATAGCTTTGTACCCACAGGTATTTGGTCTACTCTACATTAAAGGTCCACTGAAACCCCTCATGGATAGCTTTGTACCCACAGGTATTTGGTCTTCTCTACATTAAAGGTCCACTGAAACCCCTCATGGATAGCTTTGTACCCACAGGTATTTGGTCTTCTCTACATTAAAGGTCCACTGAAACCCCTCATGGATAGCTTTGTACCCACAGGTATTTGGTCTTCTCTACATTAAAGGTCCACTGAAACCCCTCATGGATAGCTTTGTACCCACAGGTATTTGGTCTACTCTACATTAAAGGTCCACTGAAACCCCTCATGGATAGCTTTGTACCCACAGGTATTTGGTCTACTCTACATTAAAGGTCCACTGAAACCCCTCATGGATAGCTTTGTACCCACAGGTATTTGGTCTACTCTACATAAAACCTTGATTTAAGTCCATTAAAGATAGTTTGGTACCTAAGATCATTGTTTAGATATAAGTAATGTATATCTGTTGTATTAATCTTAATAGAATCCATACTTATCAAATTCAAACCACTGAAGAAAGTTGGTTGAACTGAAAAGTGCATGTACATCTATTGTTTATATTTTTCCAATGTATAACTTCTCTGTAGCTCAAATTTCTTTACATATGTAATAGAGGTCATTATTCATTTCACTACCTTTGCTTGTCTTGCCCTTTGTAGATTGAGAGAAATTCTCCTTTACAGAGTTGGTACATATGTGGGAGTTCAAAGTTTCTGACATGTTAACAGGGTGTAAAATAGAATGTCTTCTCTGTGTTGTAGTGCCATCCTACACTTACACCTCCCAGACAAGTGGTTACAACACAAGGTACAATTATGGGGCAGGCCCTGGTAAGTATTATTTGTACCAGAAAACCAACCTGATTTTTACCAAAAAGTTGTTTGGCTTTCGAAGGAAGCTGAAACCATGTACTGCATTCTGTTGTTGTGATTTTATCTTTTGGAAAGGTGCATTACTCTAATTGATCAGGATGGTATACAATGGGCCTTCTGTATATTGTTCAGTGAGGTAGCCACCAGTTGCTACAAGGAAATACTCCCTCAAAACGACCCTGGATGTTGATTGGGCGATAAACCATTCAAAGTAACATATGTCTAAATTTTTGCCAATCTGAAATAAGTTATTTCAAATACTTTAGGTGCACAAAATTCACCACTTGCTTTGATAATTACTGAAAGTCTTCCTTGCATTTTCATTTTATGGTTTACAAAGTGTTTATGGTTGCAGTTTTAATTTATGACATTCATTCAGAGACAAACATCACTATAACCAGGATAATTACAATAACACACAGCTCAATGGGCACTCAAGATAAATTTCCCTTTTGATATGTTAATACAGGACAAAGATCTGGCTACAGAGATCCAAACCAGCAGGCTCGGGCGCCACCTAGAGGATATGGTTGGAACTCAAATGGGAATGCCCAAGGGGAAGGGGACTATAGTGACTACACTGGTGGACTCAGCGAGGAGGAACAAACACGGAGAGCCACAGAGGAGAGTCTTCGTCAGAACAGAGGTAATAATCAAGACTACTTGGCAGGCTGATTAACAGTTAAAAACTTCTTTGTTTATACTGGAAGGAGACAGTATACTAAAGTGACCTATAAGTGACCAAAAATTCAGATTTGGGATTCATACTTGTCATTATGAATTTATCCAACAGTTAGCCTATGTATGGTAAAAATGGTATTTTAACAGATAGACTTTTCATTATAGGCATTTTTAGGTTATCTGACTCAAAGGGTCAAGATGCTATCGTGCAAGGTCTGTCGTCGTGCGCTATTAGCTGTCCGTAAACTTTTCCTTTGAAACACAATGTCTGCTTAATGCCTTGGCGGATTTCAACCAAATTTGGTCTGAAATATCACTGGAGGTGGGGGATCATTCCTTAAATTCAGAAATTTGATTCGGTTCCTAAGGACATGGAGATGGGGTTCCAAAAGGGCAGTTAGACAATACTTCAATTAAAGTGCTACTCTTCCCTATATGCTTGAATGAAGTTCATTCAAATTTTGTCAGTAACCTCAGTAGGGACTGGCTAATCATTTTTAAATTCAGAAAATTTTATTGGGCCTCTAGGGACTTGGGGATGTAGTCCCAAACAAGGAAATTAGACAAATATTTTGCTTCAAAATGCTTCTCCTTCTTAATGCCTGGGTAGATTTCAACCAGATTTGACCTGAAACGTTATCAGGGAGTGGCAATGATATCAAACATATGTTTACGTTTTGGTCCAAATTCCAAAATAACTCATCTAGAACAATTAGTCTGAACTTCTTGTCATGTTTCATTTACACCAGTGAGGAAAACAGTTGGAGTTTGATTTTTTTAAAGAAAAGAAAGAGGTGATTTGTTGCTACTTTCAATCTGATCAAAACTTCAACACAGTAACCAAAATACTGAGTAGTCATTTTGTAATATGATAGTGCAACTGTTTTACATGCACAGAACCTACTTTCTGATAGTTTCAAGGAATGTTCAAAATTCGAATTCATCAGATTTATCAGACTACCATCAGGGAATTCTGTGGTTTGTCTATCCATTCATAGATTGTCAGATGACCGTTAAGGGCCATGGTCCTCTTGTCCTTATTTCTCATTGAATCTGTGTTAACTGCTAATATACTAGGTTTAGCTTGTGATCTGTCGATTATTTTCAGGTAATACACACAAAAGAGCAGGAATTTCATTATTGTTCAACAAAATCTTCATTTTTATTATCTTGACATGAAATCAGCATAAACATATTAAGCAATCCTTATTTGTTAATTCATCATTCATTTCATAAAGTTAGCTTGGAAATTTGTTCTTGAAATTATCGTAAGGATTCTGATTGTTCTCTTGGAGTTTATTGGGGGCTCTAACATTGATGTTTTACTGAGAAAAATAAACCTGACATTCATAGGACTCATCCCTCATCTGGCTTTGTTTGACTGAAATTGCTTCATTTAAACAAAAGGAAAATTCTAATTTTTAAAGTAACATGCACTATACCTATTTATCCATTGGGCCCCACCCCTGTCCTTAGGGGTCAGCCAAACAATTTATGCTTCATACCAAATTGGGACCATAATCTTGCCATTCCTGCAGAAGAAGATTTTTAAAGAACTTGTCCTATTTCCTTTTAAATGGGTCCTGTCCCTCCGATCCCAAGGGTTTTACACAGGGTTTTAGACCCACCGCTGATACGAATCTGATTAAATTTACTCAGAAATGCTTAAGATAAAATTTGGGCAAAACTTTCAGGAAAAGTATGATTTTAAATAATGTGTTCTGTTTACCTTATTGAGCCCCAACTCTCCTGTCCCCTGGGGCCTAGACCAACCATTTATACAAAATTGATTCCTCTTCACTCAAGAATACATCAGACCAAATTTGGACAAAATTCAATGATGGAGTATGATTTTAAAGAATTTGTACTATTTACCCATATTGGGTCCTGCCTCTCAAGCCCTTGGGGGCTGATACCCAGCATTTATATAAAATTTGCTCTTTGAAACAGGTGAGGCTGGAATGGGACAAATCTGATCCATACTTGTTATTTGGCTAAAACCTGCTTAATTTAAATGTTTGGTTAGATTTTTGAGTTTTGTGTATGATTGAGCTTACATACTTTACATTCATATTGATTTCATTTTCTAAAATATAACGGAAAATGTGTAATGGTTTGTCTCAGAGAAAATCTTCTTTGTCATTGACAGGTGGAAATCAGGACAGACTGTATCCAGATTTAGAAGATTTACGACAGAGACGTCAGAACCGATACCAGTGAGACATCCAGGGGCACTTTACCTCCTGTCTTATTTGATAACAGATGATTATACATACTGTCCATAAAGATCATATCTCTCCTATCATTTCTACCTAAGAAACAAAAAATTCATCACGGAACCAGACCATCCATGCATTGTTTTATTTTCATATAAACTCTCTAATAAAATGTTAATGTTTATATTCGTTGTGTTGAAAGTTTTATATCTGTTACCGTGAAAGCCTTTCAACAGACAAGGTTACATGTAATAAGCGTAGAACTATGTTTTCATTGCTTTGCTTCCTGACCAGTTACTGTTACTGATGTGATAATTGTCGATTGTTCAAATCACCTGTCTTGTGTCCTAAAGAGTTCTTTTATTGTGATTATTTGAGAACAAAGTAAAGAATGGGTCATTCTTACGTTCAATACATATTTTTCTCTTGGTTTATAGTTGTGCATTGTTCATTTTAGCACGAATCAAAAAAACAAAATGGCTGATACCCGATAAGCGTCCATCTTGGATTTTGATATCTACCAAATTGTAGTGTGGTTTTCTGCCATTTCTAGAGAAGTAGTGAAAGGATTATTCTCAAATTTCATGGATAGGTTCCTGTTGGTCTGTAACGGTGAATTGTCTGTCTAAAAACTTTTCTCCTGTTGGTCTGTAGCAGTGAATTGTCTGTCTAAAAACTTTTCACCTGTAGGTCTGTAGCAGTGAATAGTGTGTCTAAAATTTTTCTGGTCTGCACCTCATAACTGTATACAGTACAACTCATAACTACATGTGTAAACAGTGAAAGACACTAGGATTCCACATCAAAATACTAACTCTTACTTTCAGGTTGACATATATATTTCTGTTTGAACGTCCATACTTACAGCCAGGCTTCGCAGCTCCTCCTTGGTGAGAGAAAATTAATCTCAAACAACAGCCATTCAAGATTAATGATTGATTTTATTGGTTTTAAAACTCTAACTTTAACAACAATGGAATCTACAATGTAAACCGATCCAAATTTATGTCAGCCTAACTTTGCTCCAGATGTTTCTATAGACTGAAACATTTAACAAGAAAATTTTCAATGATCTAGATTAAGTGTGACATGTTGAATAATTTATCATAAACCATTTGAAGTCTTCAAAGGAGGTTTTATGTGAAATGTTGTTACTCCAGGCACTTTTGTGCTCAATAGAAATTATTTCATGATTCTAAACATTTCAACTTTGTAATCTGGAAGTGAGGTTTTAATACACAGAGCAATAAATGGCAACATCAAGATATAATTTAGGTATTTTTGTTCCACACATTTGATACTTGATAACTTTATCAATAATATACATTGAAGATAAAGAGTTCATTCTCATACGTGTCAAAGAAAAACACTGATATACATTGCTCTATTTGTAAGGAGACTAAACTGCAGGTTTCTGACCTGTTACATACCTGACAGTGCTGACCAATGCTAATTTTGAATACAAAAAGTGCATGTAGAAGTACTCCCATTTTGTCAAGAATAAAAATTATTTTGATTTTTAAATAATGATAGCATTTCAAATATAATTACTGAAAATCATTCTTATTTACTGCATCAAAATATATTAAACATGACAAAATAAAGAATCGTCGTGAAATTTATCACAATCACATTTAATTCCTAATTTGTTAAAGATAAATTAACAGCTGATTGAGAAGCTGATTAACCATGTTTAATTGCAGATTCAACACACACAACAAACAATGGGCTAATAACAAACAAAATGCACCATGTTTGCAAATGATGTAAAAACTTAGGTATTTAAAAAACTACCAGTGACAACACTAGGTGATAATTTAGCACCAGGAAACACACAATCTTTCTTTTAATTGGTAGAGGAAACTATAATAGTTATCAACTTTCATTCCCATCACTGTTTGACCATTTTGCTTTAAATCTTCATCAACCATTCATATCATTTCATCCCTCAAATAATTAACTGTAAGAAATTACCACAAACAGAATTTAATGTAACAAAGCAAGACTTAGTGCAGTTTGATCAATACAATACCCTTTAATACACACATTCACACCACATATATATGTGTATATATATATTGATATATATTCACATAATTTTATAATGTGTTTCATGACTACACGCATTCCTGCATATATTGATGAAGAAAATTAAAAACTGATATTTCTGATATTTTATTAAATCTATGCAATAAAATAACCAAATAAAGCTACTTATATGAGAGTTCCGTACCAAACCTTGAACCTTCCGAATCTTCTTCACGGAAATTAACCAAGGTTCTTGAGCCTTAAACTGAAAATAAAGTAATCAGATTTGGCTAATTTTCTTTTTTTTTTTCAAACCAATAATGGGTAGACTTATACACTCCATGTGAATTACTTTAAACATTAAGTATTTCTTTATTTCAACAATTTAAGCTTGAAAGGATATCCATTTTTTTAGTAGATCAAAATACTTGCCAACCAATCAATGGACAAAAAGTCGATCTGTGAAAAATGTTCCAGTGACCAAGCTGTTGAAGCAGACTCATGTTATGGAGTTTGTTGGTATGAATTTTACTTTTTTCTTTAACTACTTCAAATTCACACACACATTACCATCAATACTTCCCATCAATAAATCTACATCTAACGATCACCTCACTATCCCTCATTATTTTTTAAAATATGATATCAAATAAATTATTATGATTTGAAAATTTTAAAAAATTACTAATAATTGAAATAATTTATTTGAAAATTAACATGATCAGTATCAAGCAATTACAGGTGATAATTTCCTACATAATCAATTTAAGTTTAACACGATACAACAATTTTCAACAGAAATGATTAAAACTACAGCAATGAAATGTACATAATTCCTCCTTTGAAGCCATACAATGTGTAACAGGAGCACGGTGGTACAGATGAAATAATAACACTATTATATGTATCATACATGTTGACCTCAATGCCCTGGTATATTGCTTTATATATATCCTCTATACAATATGTATATGATTGTTATCAGCATACAAGTTGATATACAATGACAGCATTATGCACACCTACATGAAGCTCTCCAGTATGTTGACATTTTGATTTCAAAAAAGAAGTAAAGTTGGCTCTTTTCATTGACTTACATATATTACACTTAATTAAGGTTACAATCTGAAACATTAAGTAAAATATGTATATTATAGATAAAGGTAAACATATACATTTGGAACACAACTGATAATAAAAAAAATTGAGAGACAGTTATGTGTACTATATCACTTGAGTGGTTAAGTAATATCCTGGCCAAACAGATTCAGTGCTCTACTGATAATACTGAAAACCCTCAACGGCTGACTAGATCATGATCATACAATATGCCCTTCTACATCTGCCATGACATGTAGTATCAGCAAAGGGAGGTAATCTTACAAATTATCAAAGTTTCAATGTTGGAGTCATAAACCTCTAAAAATTTGTTGAAATTTTATGAAAGATTTCAGTGTTTTGAACAATTCTATGTACTTTAACCATAGAAATAGTAAGATTTTGATTTATATCCTTTCCTATGTATGATATGTCTTGGCTAGTCAAATTAATATAATAAAGTATGACATTTACTCCATACAGAAGATAGTACACAACCAACCAAAGCTTTGCAAGATACTTTGAACAATCACTGTAAAAGTGATAAGATAATATGATATAAGATGATATAATAAGATAATTATTTTGCAAGGTAAAAGGTCCCATGTTCCCAGCTAGATCTAATCTATGCAGCATGAGCTGCAGGGTATTTAGGATCCTGCCCAGGGTTATGAGGCTGTATATACCTTGTCTCAACAAATTTGTAGTAAGGTTAAGTCAGTAACCATGACAACATTCACAACAAAATAAATATATTGTAAGCCACAAAGTCATAATTTACAGCATTATACACTTTCACTATAGATTCTACAATGAGAATTGCCTCCTATGGACTGTTTGATAGCATGCAGGTACATATACACAGCCAGATATGTCTACAAAAACATCACCCAAAGATTGCCACATGTACCTGGATATGACAAATGAGAATATCTGGCATTTTTTGAAGTATGACAAAGGTTTTATGAATATGAATCAAGAATAGATATCAATAAATTAGTTTAAATATTTGATTATAATATAACAGATATCATAATCCAGTATATCAACTACTGACAGCAGGGGGCATTCAATTTGTAAGAGGGATATTTGTACATTAAGTACACACATTAGCACCATACTACACCGATATATTATTTAAACATATTAATGAGAAAAACATCAAATAATAGGCTGCAAAAATAGTTTGACAAAAATACATCTTTGTGATTCACAACATGGTAGATTGATAATGGCCATTCATGATAACAAAAAATAATATATTTTTAATAATATATATGTATACAAAATATTTTGATCCTGGACCGATGAAATGACCTATGTCACAAACGAAGCAATAAATCTAAGGTAAAAGTAATTGCTATTAGGGCTGAAAAAAAAGACATTCAAACACATTTGTGTCATGTCCCTAACTTGACTGGTCAATGTGCCTCTACTTCTTACTTGACAACTGTACCCTGTATAACCAAATAACAAGAAGCCTTGCAGGCCAAATCACTGAGCTGTTCTACAGATTCAACAGAAAAGGTGGATCATTAAGTCAGATTCTGAAATCTTCAAAGCCTATCCCCAAAGCATGCTACCACACAAATGCCATGACTGAGGTCTTATTGCTTGTTGAAAAGAAGAAATTTTAAGTTCATTAAAACATCCCATTCTGGTGACTTTGAAAGTGGGTCTAGGTCATTTTATTAAAAAAAAAAAAACTTTGTAGCTTTTCATTCCAGCATGCTGTAAGCCCAATATCAGTACCCTGGGCCTATAGCATATTGAGAAGATGTTATGTTTTAAGACATTTGACCCCTGTGACCTTGAAAAAGAGTAAAATTATCTATTTTAACAAACTTGATAGCCCTTAATCCAAATATATATGTTATAGGCCCAGTATCACTTCCCTGGGCTATATGTTATTTGAAGATTTTAACAACTTTGATTTCTGTCTTTGAAAGTGGGCCAAGGTCATTCCTTTGAACGTATTTGGTAGCCCATCATCCATTATGCTACAGGCCAAATGTCAGCATCCTGGACCTTTTCACTACATACAAGATGTTGTTTACAGATTTTTCGTTAAACATTTGACCACTTTGAACATGGAAGAAAGTTAGATAATTAATTTGAACAGATTTGGTAGCCCTTCATCTCAGCATGCTACAGTCCCAATATCAGCAATCCCAATATAACAGGCTTTTGATTAATGATATGAAATTATTCTACAGTCTTAACGTATTTGACCCCTCTGACCTATCCAAGATCTAAAATAACAACTGGAACATTTCTACTCTATTGAATTACCACATCGAGACACGAGTGTTAAGTTATGTTGCCTTCTCTGTAAACTCATTGAACATACAAATGTAATTGGCACGAGGCTAATCTGACAGCAAAGTCTCAGGATTTACAAAGTCAATACTTATAGTTCCATCTTTTATTGACTTTCAAAGAGTGTTTTCTTTGCTTCTAATTCAATGGTAAGTCATTTTTTTTTATGTCATGGTGATGGTAATGTACACTCTATTATTATTAAGTGCAAAAAGCAACATTGTAGTAAATAAGGAAATGTTATACAAAATATGAAAAAAATGTATAATACAAGGCATCACACATGATGCAAATACCCTCGTACCTCAAATATATATGACATGGAAAGAGTTTATAGAAACCTACACATGTTCACAAACATCACCTCTTGTAAGGGTTTGTGTTAGTACCTTCTGCGGGGCAAATGTAGGTTACAGTTACTATAGATAAGTACAATTGTGTACCTTTTGTTAAATGCTGTATAAATGGCAGTGTGGTCTGTGTAATACTTGAAGATGATGCCTGATTTGACAGGATGAATGTGTCTGGTGTAGATATGGTCTAATAAACTACCAAAATGATGGGTAGGTAACTTGATATGTTACTGGTGGTTTTTATGGATGACAATGTATTTGGCATTTTATAAATGTCACAACTGAAGTTTCCTGGTAGTCAAATTACATTCTGTAGAGCTGTAGGTGACATCCAAACTTCTGCCAATTTCTTTTTATAGTAAAGATGACCTAGCTTTCAACCACCAAAGGTCAAAAACTGAATGCGTAGAAAAGGCGACCTTTGTAAAAACTATGTGTGAAGTTTGGTACAAATCAGGGAAGCAATGGAGCCTTAATTTAGAGCAATGATGTGAAAATTTTTAAAGTTTCTATTTACAGTAACAGTGACCAAGTATTTGACAGCACAAGGTTGGAAGTTGAACTCGTAGAGCAGTGATGTTTGTAATCATGTGTGTGGAGTCTTGTACTTAGTTTAAAAATGCAGCCTGAAGAGCCGTAACATATAAACTTGTTGATTTCTATATATAGTATCAGCGACCTAGTTTTTTACTGGATTTTTTATTGGAAGTCAAGCTTGTACAAGAAGTGATGTTTGTGATCATGTGTATGGAGTTTTGTAATGATCAGTTCAGAAGTGCAGTCTGTAGAGCAGTGAAGTTAAAATTTCTGTTGATTTCCATTTATAGTACCGGTGACCTAGTTTGTGACCACACATGGTTTGAAGTCGAACTCCTACAAGAACTGATGTTTGTAATTATGAGTGTGGAATTTCGTGACGTTGGGATGAGAATTGCAGCGTATACAGCACCAACTTGTTTTTTTTTTACGTATGAACATATGTACAGGGTGTTTTCCTATATAACCTTAACGACATGTCGCAAGGGTATGATAAACTACGATAAGACAGATACAAGATATTTGAAGTAAACATTTTACAGACACAATCGTCTTTTTACCCCAGTGTTGAGACGCTCTGCTAGTTTGTCCCTTGAAAAGCATAGCTAGATCTTAAGAACATTTCCTAAAGAGCTTAGAAATAATTCCTTCAGTTTTTACCAAAAGGTAATATGGACAGTAAAGATTTGATTAATACTGGAGTTAGGAACTTACAACAGTAAATCATAAAAGTGAGATATAACAAGTGCTATCATAAAGATCAAATGCCATGTTTGTTTTTTGTATCTTGGCATAGTGAGACTTGACCCACAGAGTAACAGCACATCAACATCTGTACTGGACCATTAAACAGGACAATTTCCTTGATAATACAGAGTTTTCAATCCTTGCATTAAGATCACTAATATCTACTTGATCAGGAATGATACAAGCATTCTGACAATTTATTATATGACACTAATTATAAAGGTTCCTAAAGCTAGCCTTTGATCATCTAGGTTCATGTTGACCTTCTGTAGCATCTAGCATCATCTTAAACTTGGACTTTGGATTTGATGTCAAGGAAGATGGAGTCCCATATTCAACAATCTGGAAAATCATAACATTCTCACGGTAAACATTCCAATGAAATTTAGTACGTAATCCATTTCACTTAGTAGAATTATTTCTTAAAAATCTGCTTTTGTTAGTTCAAGAATTAGTCAAAATAAAATTTAAATTTGGAAAAATAGTGCTGTCTTTATCATTATGGAAGGTCCCACTTATCATGGAAACAATTGAACTTGTAGTCTATAAGCAGATTTATCATGTAAAAATCTGTTAATTGTTTTTATCATTTGTTCTTTGAGAACAACGTTTTGTATCAACTCACCTTGCCATCCTCCATTACCAGAATCCTGCTACAGTTGAGAACAGTGTTTAGTCTGTGGGCAATGATTAACATGGTACAGTCAGCGAACGCCTCCTTAATGGTGGTCTGTACCAGTGCGTCAGTCTCTGTATCAATGGCTGCTGTCGCTTCATCAAGCATCAGAATCTGTAACAATCACCATGATTGCACACTGTGGCACTACATACATTTTATTTTTATTTGGTAGTGTGAAATGTTTTGATTTGTAAAACAATGAGATTAATTATGTAATTTTCTGGATGAGATGCTTTGGAAAAGTACATTCTTCTGAAGACATTCTTTCAACAAACCAAGTCACTGTGATGAAGCAACACTCTCTCATAAAATTTACAGAAAATTTATGTCTAAATTCCAGTGAAAAGTTTTTAATCTCCTTCCAGATCAGGTTGGAAGAATGGCAAATGTGATACATATATACATACCCTGGACAGACACATGAAATAAACTGTGTGTACCTCATTGTGTTGTAGTCATACCATGACTAGACACATGATATAAACAGTATGTACCTTACTATGACATAGTAAAACCCTGTGTAGACACATGATATAAACTGTGTGTACCTCATTGTGACATAGTAGAACCCTGACTAGACACGTGATATAAAATGTGTGTACCTCATTGTGACATAGTAGAACCCTGACTAGACACGTGATATAAGCTGTGTGTACCTTACTATGACATAGTAAAACCCTGACTAGACACATGATATAAGCTGTGTGTACCTTACCATGACATAGTAAAACCCTGACTAGACATGTGATATAAACTGTGTGTACCTTACCATGACATAGTAAAACCCTGACTAGACATGTGATATAAACTGTGTGTACCTTATTATGACGTAGTAAATCCCTGACTAGACACATGATATAAACAGTGTGTACCTTACTATGACGTAGTAAAACCCTGACTAGACATGTGATATAAACAGTGTGTACCTTACTATGACATAGTAGAACCCTGACTAGACACATGATATAAACAGTGTGTACCTTACTATGACGAAGCAGTGCCCTGGCTAAACACATGAGTTGCCTTTCACCAACAGAGAAGTTTTCTCCATTCTCTACTACAGGGGAGTCTAGCTGCTGCTCCAGACTGACAATCTGTAAGATAACATTTATTGTAGCTAAAGTGGAAGAGTCATTTCCACATTTACTTCTTGTGTACAAAAAGGGGAAAATGATTAACAGCTGTAAGGAGTTATATAAGTATACATAAAACCAATGAATAGCAACACAGATGAACAACCCTAGGAATAGTGTCAGGATGCTGAAAATAACACAAATCAATATCATTATTGGAGAAATGGATGTGAGAAATTTTAAAGTTATAATTCTTTTACATTGCATTATTCCTGGAAATGTATGATTAAAGGCAATGGAAATCCTGAGTTTTTGATGAAAATAGAAATCATATGCTTGGATGTAGCTCTGAGTTATATAATCTACATCCATGGAATGCTTAGGAGTGTTTAGGTACTGGATGTGACATTTGATTAACTAGTTCTGAGTTATATAATCTACATCCATGGAATGCTTAGGAGTGTTTAGGTACTGGAGGTGACGTTTGATTAACTAGCTCTGAGTTATATAATCTACATCCATGGAATGCTTAGGAGTGTTTAGGTACTGGAGGTGACGTTTGATTAACTAGCTCTGAGTTATATAATCTACATCCATGGAATGCTTAGGAGTGTTTAGGTACTGGAGGTGACGTTTGATTAACTAGCTCTGAGTTATATAATCTACATCCATGGAATGCTTAGGAGTGTTTAGGTACTGGAGGTGACGTTTGATTAACTAGCTCTGAGTTATATAATCTACATCCATGGAATGCTTAGGAGTGTTTAGGTACTGGAGGTGACGTTTGATTAACTAGCTCTGAGTTATATAATGACGTTTGATTAACTACATCCATGGAATGCTTAGGAGTGTTTAGGTACTGGAGGTGACGTTTGATTAACTAGCTCTGAGTTATATAATCTACATCCATGGAATGCTTAGGAGTGTTTAGGTACTGGAGGTGACGTTTGATTAACTAGCTCTGAGTTATATAATCTACATCCATGGAATGCTTAGGAGTGTTTAGGTACTGGAGGTGACATGGAATTTGATTAGGTACTAGATTAACTCTGAGTTATATAATCTACATCCATGGAATGCTTAGGAGTGTTTGGGTACTGGAGGTGACGTTTGATTAACTAGCTCTGAGTTATATAATCTACATCCATGGAATGCTTAGGAGTGTTTAGGTACTGGAGGTGACGTTTGATTAACTAGCTCTGAGTTATATAATCTACATCCATGGAATGCTTAGGAGTGTTTAGGTACTGGAGGTGACGTTTGATTAACTAGCTCTGAGTTATATAATCTACATCCATGGAATGCTTAGGAGTGTTTAGGTACTGGAGGTGACGTTTGATTAACTAGCTCTGAGTTATATAATCTACATCCATGGAATGCTTAGGAGTGTTTAGGTACTGGAGGTATGATACTATCTGAGTTATATAATCTACATCCATGGAATGCTTAGGAGTGTTTAGGTACTGGAGGTGACTTTTGATTAACTAGCTCTGAGTTATATAATCTACATCCATGGAATGCTTAGGAGTGTTTAGGTACTGACTTTTGAGAGTTATATAATCTACATCCATGGAATGCTTAGGAGTGTTTAGGTACTGGAGGTGACGTTTGATTAACTAGCTCTGAGTTATATAATCTACATCCATGGAATGCTTAGGAGTGTTTAGGTACTGGAGGTGACGTTTGATTAACTAGCTCTGAGTTATATAATCTACATCCATGGAATGCTTATATAATCTTAGGAGTGTTTAGGTACACTAGCTCTGAGTTATATAATCTACATCCATGGAATGCTTAGGAGTGTTTAGGTACTGGAGGTAACGTTTGATTAACTAGCTCTGAGTTATATAATCTACATCCGTGGAATGCTTAGGAGTGTTTAGGTACTGGAGGTGACTTTTGATTAACTAGCTCTGAGTTATATAATCTACATCCATGGAATGCTTAGGAGTGTTTAGGTACTGGAGGTGACTTTTGATTAACTAGCTCTGAGTTATATAATCTACATCCATGGAGCTCTGAGTTATATAATCTATATCCGTGGAATGCTTAGGAGTGTTTAGGTACTGGAGGTGACGTTTGATTAACTAGCTCTGAGTTATATAAAAACAACATCAAAGGAATGCTTAGGAGTGTTTAGGTACTGGAGGTGACTTTTGATTAACTAGCTCTGAGTTATATAATCTACATCCATGGAATGCTTAGGAGTGTTTAGGTACTGGAGGTGACGTTTGATTAACTAGCTCTGAGTTATATAATCTACATCCATGGAATGCTTAGGAGTGTTTAGGTACTGGAGGTGACGTTTGATTAACTAGCTCTGAGTTATATAATCTACATCCGTGGAATGCTTAGGAGTGTTTAGGTACTGGAGGTGACGTTTGATTAACTAGCTCTGAGTTATATAATCTACATCCGTGGAATGCTTAGGAGTGTTTAGGTACTGGAGGTACTGGAGGTGACGTTTGATTAACTAGCTCTGAGTTATATAATCTACATCCGTGGAATGCTTAGGAGTGTTTAGGTACTGGAGGTGACGTTTGATTAACTAGCTCTGAGTTATATAATCTACATCCGTGGAATGCTTAGGAGTGTTTAGGTATTGGAGGTGACTTTTGATTAACTCTTAATCTTTTGTCAAATGAGGAATATTATCCCTCAGTGTGTAGGTTCATACCTACAGTTTGTCCCCTAAAACTGTGGATTACTTCACATAATCCTGTGGAATAGTTTGAGCTATTTCACAGGGCAAAATATAAATATTTCACAGGAGGAGGATAAACTATGGGACATTTCAACTATACCCACACACAAACACAATGAATCAAATAATACCTATTTTGTTATTTCAAATAACATTAAAAAAAGGCATGGTTAAAGATATCAAGAAAATTTTAATTATTTCTAATGGCAAATCAATGTAGTACTCACTGTTTCTTTGATATGACATTTTTCTAAGGCATCCCACAACTGTGGGTCTGTATACTGCTGGAATGGATCCAGGTTGTACCTGTCAACACAGGAAAATATAGCTGGCATAGAATCAGACAGATAACAGTGTATTATTTATTGACTATTTTTAGGATCACTTTTCAAAATCATGTACATGTGCTGGTCTTCAAAATGCTGATTTAAACTATAATGAGTCACTGGTGTGTCAGAAAGGGCCCCAATGTGTCGGACTCTACACCTGGGTCCATATCAATGAAACTGTTATCATGCTCAATCTCAACTTTTGTGCTCATGTCACAAGTCTGTGCTCCAGTGAGAATGTACTCGAAATTTGTATTCATCACACTTTCAAAGAATGTACTCTGCACAGCACAGTAACCAAGGGAGCTCTCTGGTGTTTGGAAATTGTTTTGTATGTCTCGCGATTTTTCTCATATGCGCAACTCTATTTGTGCAGAAGTTAGAATAATGGCTACTAGGAAAACAAAAATGTGTGGAGTACAGTGGAAGAAACTTCCTTGAGCCAAGCAGTACATGCCAATGAGGACGTACTGTTTGGATCAATGACTGGTTCTGGAGCCATCAAACTGACTACAAAAAGGAAAAGAGATCAGCGATATGTTAAAGTTGTAGGTATAAGAAACTCATGTAAATACTTAAAACACCACTTTTACCCCCATAAACAAATGATAAATAAATTTGAAAGATTATTTCATGGCTTTCTCTCTTCTGTATGAAACGTGCTGCCGCCATGATGAGAATGATATCTTGTGCACGGGCATGACCATGTTCAAACAAACTTTAGAAAGTGCTCAAAAGTTGAGCACAGAATTTTTCATGGAATGACCTCTACCTTGTGATTCTTATCCTTTATTATCCTCCTTCTGCAGAGTGACTCTTAATTCAATTCAATCAAAGACGATTCATTATATTTGGACAAAACAATTTATCATTTCAGAAATAGAATGCTGACATTGACATCAAGGTGATGTTTTATTTTGATTTTCATATTTTTCATGTCATAACAAAGTTCTTCCCAGTATAAATATCTTATCCTGACCTTCAACCTAGTGACCTTGAATTTTGGTGATATTCTAGCTGATAAGCTGTGGTTCATAATATATTTAATGATTTAGAAATACAAAATGTGACCTTGAGTCTGTTGAGCTTGTCACTGATCAGGTACTTCCTCAATATCACTATGGTCAACTTTGTGTCATAGCATCAAAAAAGAATATCTATTGGTAAAACTTTGACCTTGAATATTGGCCTGGTGACCTTGACTTGTAGTCAGAGGAGAAATTTAAAATAATGAGTGTGACAAGTATGGATATATATATATATATAACAGAAAATCAGCCTTTTATCTATCAATCAATAAATTTGCATTCACATGAATGTCAGTGTATCTTTTAATGATTCATTGAAAAAATTGACTTTTAATACCAAAAGTGTCAAGGATTGGACCTGGCTTATTGACAAATCTGAAGGTTACAGAATGTTACGTACCTGACCGTTCCAACAAACAAGACAGGATCCTGAGGAATAATGGCCAGTTTCGATCTCAGGTCATCCAGACCAATGCTACTGATGTCCATTTTGTCAATGAAGATGGTGCCTGAATCCGCCTCAACCAGACGAAACAATGCCACACCCAGGGAGGATTTACCTAGAGAAACAGACAATTATTACTGACTCAGTCACACCCAGGGAGGATTTACCTAGAGAAACAGACAATTATTACTGACTCAGTCACACCCAGGGAGGATTTACCTAGAGAAACAGACAATTATTACTGACTCAATCACACCAAGGGAGGATTTACCTGGAGAAAGAGACAATTATTACTGACTCAATCACACCCAGGGAGGATTTACCTAGAGAAAGAGACAATTATTACTGACTCAGTCACACCCAGGGAGGATTTACCTAGAGAAAGAGACAATTATTACTGACTCAGTCACACCCAGGGAGGATTTACCTAGAGAAAGAGACAATTATTACTGACTCAGTCACACCCAGGGAGGATTTACCTAGAGAAACAGACAATTATTACTGACTCAGTCACACCCAGGGAGGATTTACCTAGAGAAAGAGACAATTATTACTGACTCAATCACACCAAGGGAGGATTTACCTGGAGAAAGAGACAATTATTACTGACTCAGTCACACCCAGGGAGGATTTACCTAGAGAAAGAGACAATTATTACTGACTCAATCACACCCAGGGAGGATTTACCTAGAGAAAGAGACAATTATTACTGACTCAATCACACCCAGGGAGGATTTACCTAGAGAAAGAGACAATCATTACTGACTCAATCACACCCAAGGAGGATTTACCTAGAGAAAGAGACAATAATTACTGACTCAGCCACACCCAGGGAGGATTTACCTAGAGAAAGAGACAATTATTACTGACTCAAATACAACTAGAAAGAATTAACTTGGGGAAATTTACAATTTATACTGATTCAGACACACCTAGGGAGGATGAATTTACCTGACAAAGAGACTACTAATACTGACTTAGACATACTTTCAGGAGATTCGTTTACATGGGAAAGAGACAGTCTACCAAGATTAAGAGAAAATTATCAAAACTCATGCAGTTATGTACCAGAAATAAATTTGTAGGTAAATCTTTACACATATTTGTTGTCTGTACAGACATTTATAGAGTACAGTAATTAACACTTAATGCTTACCAGATCCAGATCTTCCTACAATACCAATCTTTTCTCTGGGAAGGACATCAAATGACACTCCTCTTAAAGCATAAGGCAAATTTTCTCTATAGCGCATTTTCACTTTCTTGAATGATATAGAACCATCATGTGGCCAAGTAGATATAGGACGATTGTTCTTGATGACGGCAGGTGCTTCTGACTCAACTTCCTACAATGATAAGTAACTCTTTGTGATATAGACCCAACAACTGAATAATATTGACAAACATTGTGAAGTTATTTTCTCTGCTGATGTTTTAAACCTACATGACAAATTATACAGATTTACAGAGATCACTATTGTATAGCGACCCAGTAAGGCGATTATATATTCCAAACATAGCTGTGTTTCTACAACAACAGGTAGGTGTTGATACACCTCAATGGCAGCAGTAAACATCACTGTCCCATTATAGCAATTTGAGTCATAAGAGTTTGACTGTACTTAAAACTGACTCTAGTTCTGTATTTGTAATAAAACTCATTTACATACAAGGTGACTCATATTTTGTATATGCAATGAGACTAATTTACTTAAGGTGACTTAGATTTTGTACAATATTAAGTAATGAGACTCATTTACTGAAGGTGACTTAGATTTTGTACAATATTAAGTAATGAGAGACTCAGATTTTGTACAATATTAAGTAATGAGACTCATTTACTGAAGGTGACTCAGATTTTGTACAATATTAAGTAATGAGACTCATTTACTGAAGGTGACTCAGATTTTGTACAATATTAAGTAATGAGACTCATTTACTGAAGGTGACTTAGATTTTGTACAATATTAAGTAATGAGACTCATTTACTGAAGGTGACTCAGATTTTGTACAATATTAAGTAATGAGACTCATTTACTGAAGGTGACTCAGATTTTGTACAATATTAAGTAATGAGACTCATTTACTGAAGGTGACTCAGATTTTGTACAATATTAAGTAATGAGACTCATTTACTGAAGGTGACTCAGATTTTGTACAATATTAAGTAATGAGACTCATTTACTGAAGGTGACTTAGATTTTGTACAATATTAAGTAATGAGACTCATTTACTGAAGGTGACTCAGATTTTGTACAATATTAAGTAATGAGACTCATTTACTGAAGGTGACTCAGATTTTGTACAATATTAAGTAATGAGACTCATTTACTGAAGGTGACTTAGATTTTGTACAATATTAAGTAATGAGACTCATTTACTGAAGGTGACTCAGATTTTGTACAATATTAAGTAATGAGACTCATTTACTGAAGGTGACTCAGATTTTGTACAATATTAAGTAATGAGACTCATTTACTGAAGGTGACTCAGATTTTGTACAATATTAAGTAATGAGACTCATTTACTGAAGGTGACTCAGATTTTGTACAATATTAAGTAATGAGACTCGTTTACTGAAGGTGACTCAGATTTGTATATAATACTATGAAATGAGACTCATTTTAATTGAAGTGACTCCGATTTTGCTTACCTTTGAGTAATGTTGTAGTCTCTCTACAGACACAAACCTCGCCTCTGTATCTATGGCCATTCTGATGGTAAATTGGAACAGTCCTGTCATCTACAATTAAGATAGTGAACACTGCTTAGTCCTGTATAGAAAACATTGTTTAAATTTCTTAAAAATAATTTAAAAGTTAACTGATACTGATTTTGAAGTCTAAGTTTGATGCCATGTGTGGTGTTAAATTGCTGATCTGATATATTCAAAACAATGTGATGAACTTAACTATAGTATGAATATTAAGTTAAAGGAATGTCAACAAAAATTGAGAGTTAAGTATTCAAAATAAAAAATTAGGAAAATATTGAGAATTTATGACATATATACTTCATTTATAATTCAAGGAGGATATGCTGACTAAAAATGAGACAAATATAGCAGCAATATAACTAACCTGTATACTGACATAACTCACCTGTATAGTGTCACAACTCATCTGTATAGTGTCACAACTCACCTGTATAACTCACCTGTATAGTGTCACAACTCACCTGTATAGTGTCACAACTCACCTGTATACTGACATAACTCACCTGTATAGTGTCACAACTTACCTGTATAGTGTCACAACTCATCTGTATACTGACACAACTCACCTGTATAGTGTCACAACTCACCTGTATACTGACATAACTCACCTGTATAGTGTCACAACTCACCTGTATAGTGTCACAACTCACCTGTGTACTGACATAACTCACCTGTATAGTGTCACAACTCACCTGTATAGTGTCACAACTCACCTGTATAGTGTCACAACTCACCTGTATAGTGTCACAACTCACCTGTATACTGACATAACTCACCTGTATAGTGTCACAACTCACCTGTATACTGACATAACTCACCTGTATAGTGTCACAACTCACCTGTATAATGTCACAACTCACCTGTATACAGATATAACTCACCAGTATACTGACATAAATCACCTGTATAGTGTCACAACTCACCTGTTTACTGACATAACTCACCTGTATAGTGTCACAACTCACCTGTATACTGACACAACAAACCCGTATTACTGACACAACACACCTGTATACTGACACAACTCACCTGTATACAGATATAACTCACCTGTATAGTGACATAACTCACCTGTATACCGACATAACTCACCTGTATACTGACACAACTCACCTGTATATAGATATAACTCACCTGTATACTGACACAACTCACCTGTATTGTGACACAATGCAACTGTATAGTGACAAAATGTAACTGTATAGTGACACAATTTACCTGTACAACAACAACACAAAATACCAACTTACATGTGTATTGACCCTGTATATTTTGAGCGACACAACCCTTAAATTCCTAATGAAGCATAACTGTAAAGCCAAGCTACTTATCAATATATTGCGTAGAGTGACAAAACTTACCTGTGTATAGTGACACATCTTACATTTACAGTGACACAACATACCAACTAACCTGCATAGCAACAAAACTTACCTGTGCATAGGTATCCTACCTTTATAGTGAACAAACTTACTTTACAGTGACACAACATATCTCTGTATAGTGACACATCCTACCTTTAAAGTGACACACCTTACATTTACAGTGACATAACATAACAACTAACCTGCATAGCAACAAAACATATCTGTATACTAACACAGTTTACCTCTAATGTAACACAAATCATACGAAGAGTGACACAATGTACACAGAACCTACCTGTATAGCAAATGCCATGGCCATACCAGCTAGTGCTGGTGTCATGCTTTCATAGGTAAGGATGACCAGGAGTCCTGTTATCCCAATCACTAGTGCACTTAACAGGTCAAGTCTGACTGCTAGCCAACGATTGGATGAGTAAAACAGGAAGAATGGTACAGAATTGGTGTCCATTAGACGGTAAAACCTACCCGAAACAAAAATAATGGAAATCAATAAAACACTGTTAATTTGACCTTTAGATTTTAAGGATTGTCCTCTGACAGAAACTTCCTCATCTACTTCTGTTTTTTATGTAGGAGAAATATTTACTGTTGTAATTTACATACTTTTTTTCAGTAATTACATATAGCTTACAAATAACAATAAAAATAATCAGTTATCTCCCTTGACAAACTGAACAACCTTTGGGAATAGTAAAATAATGCCATGTCATTGTTATCTGTTCCTTTTCAAGGTAAATCAGAATGAGACAATTTAAAATGTGTAGATTCATTACATTGACTGAAATATATACTGAAATGTTACAATCCTCTTTAAAATGAATTTTATGAATAATTAAAGGAAATATAAAATAAATTTACACTTGATTACTGATGAAAACTGATATCATTAATATATGAAATAATTAATTTTAATGCCAAGGGAAATAAACAGACTTACATACTGACCTTAATTATCATATACCACATTAACTATCATGTAACTGATTTTTTTTTTGATGCTGTTACACATATTGTCAATGGCATTGTTACGTTAAAATTTTCTATATCAAAATGTTTTGAAGAACTGACCTATCTAAGAATTCTTGTGATTTTCCAAATGCATGAATGGTAGAAATTCCTTGTATTGAAGCAGTCACATGACTAAGCAATGGAGATCGTGTTGTGGCATCCAGTCGTTTCAGTTCTCGTACTCCCGAGGTGAAGATGACATTGAGCACGATGAAGGTAGCGATCAATGGAACAAGGGCAATTAAAAACCATAGTGATACATAACAAATAGAAATAAGGGCGAAGATGATGGTCAGGATGTTCATAAGAAAAACTTCAGCACTCCCAGGCAGACGGATATCAACTGTAAATAAAAGTATAGTAAAGGCTACAAACATGTATAAAATAAAACAATTACATTGAACATCAACCAAATAAACCACACACAGATAATATAGGGCAGACAGAACAGCCTCTCATGTGTACTTACATGGCCTGTCTACTACAGCTACACTACAGAAATGACATCACATTTAACACCATTAACAAGAGATTGTAGAGGCATCATGGCACCCAACACTGTTTTATTTAGGGTTAGATCTTTCTTCTTCATTTTCTCCAGCTTCTTTACAGTGATATCAATTATTAACTGTCAAATTCAAGCAGACTGTTTGTCCACCATTTTGCTTTTTAAACAAGTTCCTAAATCTAATCAGCAGAACTAGGTACCTCGCAGAACCTACCTGATGTCTGAGAATGATCTATCCACTTCTTTTCAGGAAACAGTGATAACTTTCATAGTCAAATTCTAAGATGGCACCTATAAATCATTTTGATCATTCCTAAAATTAAACAGTCATAACTAGGCACCACTGGAAACCTGCATACTAAATTTGGAGAAGACCCATCCACAGTATGTCAAGAGACAGCAATCACAAAAACCAAGATGGCCGCCTTTCAATCAATCAGTCCCAAAATCAATAACTAAGAATGAAAGGAACCTTAATATCTAGTTTGATCTAATTTAATCTGATTTCAGAATGACCAATAGTGCCCTATGAGTGTCACATACCAAGATGGCAACCTGTCTACCTCACCAGTCCCACCATTTACACAAACTTGAGCTAACTTCCTGTTTCTGATCAAATTTTGTCAATTTGCATAGGCCTTTATAACTGGTAGTGATTTTTAAGAAAAGTTGACAGACGGAGGGATGGACAGAAGTGGCACATTGTCTGCCATAATATCACTTAAAGAAGCTGTGACTGTCAAAAATCAAGATAGCTGTCTTCTTATTCTGATCAGTCCCAAAATGGACTAGGCATAAGTAGCGGCCATTGAAATCCTTTATGTGTAATTTGAGACTTACACCAACCAGTACTTCTCTACAAATAACAATTACAAGAAATGCTTCAGGATTAAAGAACATATGGACAGACTGACATTAGACAAAGGGTGATTTGAACAGCCCACCATCTTATGATCGTGAGCTAAAAATAGAAACTGATGCAAAGTAATGTTACTGTAATAGGATACCTACTCTCGTCCATATCTGAGGAGAACCTGTTGATGATTCTTCCTACAGGAGTTGTGTCAAAGAATTTCATTGGACAGGAGAGCACCTTTCTGAATATGGTATCATGCATTTTGCTAGATGCATGAAGTGTTACCTAAAACAGATAAGTGTTTGATTAAATTTGATAAGTCTCAGTGAATACCATCCAATCATTTTCATGTGTGGTTGGGAGGTACTGTTCTTATTTTGTTTTTATTTCCTTTAACTATACATGAAGTGGTATCGCCTTTAATCTGGGCCAACAAGAGAGATTAATATTACCTTGTAGCTTGTTTCACAATTGTTGTAAAATGAATAAAATTAATAAATATTACAATTTCCTGGAAATGTAAGGTTATGAGATTCCGTTGTAACAGGTGAAGACTGATATTCAATATATTACCTGAATTTGTTTAACAGTAAAATTTGTGAAATTTTATTGACTAGCCTCGATATAAAATGTCTTACTTTCATAAAAAGGAAAGTCCTGAAAAGTGTTGAAAAAAGCACAACAACAATGCAGAGCCCGTAGATCATGGCGTAGAAATTAATGTCAGGATTGTGTCGAATGTTTGTACTGGTCCTGTTCACTGTAGTGTTCCCAAGCATCATCTCAACTGTTGTGTTCTGTAATCAAAACAGAATATCTGTCATTTATTTACTCCATCACCCAGTCTTAACTATCAACTAACTGAGCTAGTATTCACCCCTCACCCTTTCTTCTCCACATCAAATTAGATTTTAACACTAATATACCCTTTCCCTCTCTCCTCCACACTGAGCCAGTATTTAGCACCAATCCCAGTCCCTCTCTCCTCCACACTGAGCCAGTATTGAGCACTCATCCCAGTCCATTTCTCCTCCACACTGTGCCAGTATTTAGCATGTATCCCAGTCCCTCTCTCCTCCACACTGAGCCAGTATTTAGCACTCATCCCAGTCCCTGTCTCCTCCACACTGAGCCAGTATTTAGCACTAATCATTTTCCCTCTCTCCTCCACACTGAGCCAGTATTGAGCACTCATCCCACTCCCTGTCTCCTACACTCTGAGATGGTATTTAACGACTGACTCCTCTCCACCAAGTGTTTTGCTGTTATTTATCACACTTAAGATATCACATCACCTTGGTTTAGCCAGTACTTAACCTGCTGCCCTGGTGTAACTAGGACTAACCACACACCCTGATTTAGCCAGTACTTAACCTGCTGCCCTGGTGTAACTAAGACTAACCACACACCCTGATTTAGCCAGTACTTACCCCTACATCCTGATTTAGCCCATACTTATCTCAACATCCTTGTTAAGCTAAAACTAACCCCACTACCCTTGTTCAGCAAATACTTACCTTGCTGCCATTTTTAATCCTTACTTAAACCACCACCCCAGTTTTACCAGTGTTTACCTCTCAATCTTGTTTTAGTCAATTCTTATCCTGCCATCTGGGTTTAGCCAGTACTTACCCTATCATCCAGGTTTAGCCAGTGTTTGTGTTGCTGTCCTGTTTTAGACAGTGCTGACATTGTACCCCATTGCCCTGGTTTAGCCAGTACTTTCCCCATCTTCCAGGTTTAGACAGTGTTTGCATTGCTGTCCTATTTTAGACAGTGCTGACATTGTACCCTGTTGCCCTGGTTTAGCCAGTACTTTCCCCACCATCCAGGTTTAGCCAGTGTTTATGATGCAGCCCTGTTTTAGACAGTGCTGACATTGTACCCCATTGCACTGGTTTAGCCAGTACTTTCCCCACCATCCAGGTTTAGACAGTGTTTGCATTGCTGTCCTATTTTAGACAGTGCTGACATTGTACCCTGTTGCCCTGGTTTAGCCAGTACTTTCCCCACCATCCTGGTTTAGCCAGTGTTTATGTTGCAGCCCTGTTTTAGACAGTGCTGACATTGTACCCCATTGCCCTGGTTTAGCTAGTACTTTCCCTGCCATCCTGGTTTAGCCAGTGTTTATGTTGCAGCTCTGTTTTAGACAGTACTTACCAAGCAATCCTGGTTTAGCCAGTACTGACCCCACCATCCAGGTTTAGCCAGTGTTTGCATTGTACCCATTTTAGACAGTGCTGACATTGTACCCTGTTGCCCTGGTTTAGCCAGTACTTTCCCCACCATCCAGGTTTAGCCAGTGTTTATGATGCAGCCCTGTTTTAGACAGTGCTGACATTGTACCCCATTGCACTGGTTTAGCCAGTACTTTCCCCACCATCCAGGTTTAGACAGTGTTTGCATTGCTGTCCTATTTTAGACAGTGCTGACATTGTACCCTGTTGCCCTGGTTTAGCCAGTACTTTCCCCACCATCCTGGTTTAGCCAGTGTTTATGTTGCAGCCCTGTTTTAGACAGTGCTGACATTGTACCCCATTGCCCTGGTTTAGCTAGTACTTTCCCTGCCATCCTGGTTTAGCCAGTGTTTATGTTGCAGCTCTGTTTTAGACAGTACTTACCAAGCAATCCTGGTTTAGCCAGTACTGACCCCACCATCCAGGTTTAGCCAGTGTTTGCATTGTACCCATTTTAGACAGTGCTGACATTGTACCCCGTTGCCCTGGTTTAGTCAGTACTTACCCTATTGCCTTGTTTGACGTGTACTGATCTTTCTGCACTGATGTAACTAGTACTTACCCCACTGCCCTGATTTATCCAGTAAGATAGCCACCAGCTGGTCCCACTCTGGACACCAACACTGATGAGGTATATGAGAAACACAAAAAGAGCCACACAGATCCCGCCAGCAGATTGTACATAGTTCCAGTAAGTACTGGCTGTAACCTTTCCCTTTGCCTTTTCCTCAGCGACAATAAGTTTCCCAGCTAGAAATGCAATCAAATTCATGAACTACATTAGGTGCGAAAAAACAATAATTATGTATTATTCTACGTGCTGATTTCAACCATAAGTTTCCCCTTCAAGATCAAGAATTGCAAGACTTCAGGGCCTGGTTTTAGTGAGAGACATTGTACCAGTCTCAAACTACCATCTCATAACAAAGGAAAGTTCTATTATATAGCTTTATCTTATTACTAATTATTTCATTTCATACATTTTACAGATATGTGATGTCAGTCACTTGTAATGTCAGTCACCTGTAGTGTCGGTCACCTGTAGTGTCGGTCACCTGTAATGTCGGTCACCTGTAATGGCAGTCACCTGTAATGTCAGTCACCTGTAATGTCAGTCTCCTGTAATGTCAGTCACCTGTAATGTCAGTCACCTGTAATGTCAGTCACCTGTAGTCACCTGTAATGTCACCTGTAATGTCAGTCACTTGTAATGTCAGTCACCTGTAATGTCACCTGTAATGTCAGTCACCTGTAATGTCAGTCACCTGTAATGTCAGTCACTTGTAATGTCAGTCACTTGTAATGTCAGTCACCTGTAATGTCAGTCACTTGTAATGTCAGTCACCTGTAGTCACCTGTAATGTCACCTGTAATATCAGTCACTTGTAATGTCAGTCACATGTAATGTCAGTCACTTGTAATGTCAGTCACCTGTAATGTCAGTCACCTGTAATGTCACCTATAATGTCAGTCACCTGTAATGTCAGTCACTTGTGAAGGTTACACCTTGTAATGGTCACACCTTGTAATGGTTACACTTGTAATGGTTACACTTGTAATGGTTACACCTTGTAATGGTTGCAATTGTAATGGTCACACCTTGTAAGGGTTACACTTAGTAATGGTTACACCTTGTAATGGTCACACCTTGTAATGGTTACACCTTGTAATGGTCACACCTTGTAAGGGTTACACCTTGTAATGGTTACACTTGTAATGGTTACACCTTGTAATGGTTGCAATTGTAATGGTCACACCTTGTAATGGTTACACCTTGTAATGGTCACACCTTGTAATGGTTACACCTTGTAATGGTCACACCTTGTAATGGTTACACTTGTAATAGTTACACCTTGTAATGGTTACACCTGTAAAGGTTACACCTAGGAATGGTTACACTTAGTAATCTCTTGTAATTTAACAAAATCTCTTGTAGTGGTTTAAGATCTTCATTTGATTTCTTATTTTTACCATTTTGATCAGGCTGCTTTCCAGAATTATCACTCATGGCAGACATGGTGCTTATTTGTCTATCAACGCCATTAGCTGCGCCCCTTTGGGAGTGGTTTGAAGTTGAGGACATGGTGCGTTCTCTGCCGTATGAATTCCTCTGTCGTGTGCCTGAAAATGTCCTTTTCCTCGGACTTTTAGGTGATGATCCAAGTCTCTCTGCATTGAATAAACAACAAAACACGGTCAGCATCTTCAAAAATTAATCTGTATTTTTGCAAGGGTGATTAAAGATAAAAGTATCAAGTGTTTTGACCATATGTTCTATTCATGCTGCAACACTGAATTAAAGTTCTGATTATTGAAACTTTAACAGTATATTGAAAAATACTTGTTTACTTGATGTTGACAATTAATTGAATTATGCCTTATGTACTTCAAAATAATGGTCTGCATGGATATAAAGTTCCAAACTTCAGCAAACATAACAAGTAACAAGAGGGCAACGGACAGATCACAGAATTTGCTGAGGGTGGTCTCAGAAATATGATGAATTCAAATAATATACATTCCTCAAAAGTATCAAAAACACATACATGTCATGTTACAAAATGGCTACTGTGATTATCATGTTAAAGTTTTGTTCAGGATGAAAACCAACAACATACAATGTATCATTTGTTTCTGTTCCCTAAAAACTAAACTCCAAATGTTTTTCTAAGTGGTGTGAATGAAACTTGAGAAGTAGTTCAGACAATTTGTTCCAAACCGAAAAATGATATTTGGTCAGGACAATCTCAGAACCACATCATGCACATTTGATATCATTGCCACTCCCTAATAATGTTCCAGACCAAATATGGTTGAAATGGACTCAGGCCTTAAGAAAGAGTGGCATTTTATCACAAAATATTATTTGACTTTCCTTAGTCACTAGCGTCTGAATCAAATTTCTGAATTCAAGAATCAATTGCCCACTCCAAATTATGTTTCAGACTTAATCTGAATGAAAACCGTTGAAGCATTTTGGAAAAAAAATATTTTGAAGCAAACTATCAAATAACTTACTCCTTTAGAGCCTAGCCCAAGGTCCCTGTGGTGGATTCAATTTTTTGAATTTAAGAAATGATTCTCCTACGCAATTTCAGACCAAATTTGGTTGAAATCTACCCAGGCATTGAGGAGGAGAAGCATTTTAAAGCAAAATATACTACAAGGTGCTGAATAAACTTTCTGAATAGTAGAATTAATTGTCTAATCTTACTGGTTTCTAAGACTTGATATGAAAGAAATCCATTCAAGCATTAATGAAGAGTAACATTTTGGAGCAAAATAGTGCATCACTTCCCTTTTGATTCCCCATCCACAATGATGTCAGACCAAATTTGGTTGAAATTTGCCCAGGTGTTAAGCAGGAGTGTTTACATGGAAAAAAAAATATTGACAGCACATGATGACGGACGACACAGGATAGCAATATGTCATCTTGACCCCTCGGGTCTGATGACCTGATAATACAATTTTTTTTAAAATAATGTAATTCATTCCAAAAAATGAAATTGCTTATCTTTAGTATTGTTGTTTTTTTTTCTGCAATATTACTTTAAAGAAATCAGAAGAATTTGTTCAGACTGTTGAGTTAATGCACACGCTAAAATGCAGCTATTTTCTGTCACTGATGAAATACATCAAAGTTATCAGGCAGGTGTATATCAACATGCATTCAAAAACATATCACAATGTGCATGTACATGGTTCAAATATTCCCTTCTTACTTGCAGATTTCATATTTTAACTAATATAATTCCCAAAAACCACAGGAATGTATTCCTAATGTAACAGATATATTTCAGTACAGAGCAACAATCTGTCATTTCAACCAATCAGATGCATCAATCTGGTTGCTAGGAAACAAATCTTACAGTCAAGTTCCTAGTCTTTAATATAGTTAAATACCAAAATTTGATAAAATTACATAATATGAAAACATGGATGTTGGAAAGTGTAGAAAATTGAAAAGGATAGACAGAAGATTAAAAGGAAGGAAAGGAAATCTTTTAATTCTGCATGAACCTAGAGGGGGACTAATTATCTATATAATTTGATGATTTACTTGCCTCTGAATTCCTCTCCTTCCTCCTCAGAGTCACTTTCTTCCTTTGAATAGTAGGTGGTGATGAGGTTGGCGTACTCACCATTGTTTTTGGTGAGCTCGTCATGTTTACCGCTCTCTATCATCTGACCATCATTCATCACAATTATACCATCACAGTGACTTAGGTACTACAACATACAATACAAAGTGTTGTCCAGTTTAAGATGACGGATATATACACAATTTATTTCTCTCTTACAATAACTTTTTTTACATCTAAGTATTTTCTTGTGTCCTACACAGACTCTTTTCTTCCTGCACACAAGTACATGTATTCATTCAATCGTCTTTGATTTTATGGAAAATGTTCAGGATATATAGACATATATATAGGTTTATCCAACAACTTCATGGCAGTGTATAGCTTAGCATGTGTTAACATACAACACAATGGCTGACAATCATGATCTACCTGTAGATGATGGATTCCAATCATGAGCTACTTGTAAATGATGGGACCCAATCATGACCTACCTGTAGATGATGGGACCCAATCATGATCTACCTGTAAATGATGGGATCCAATCATGAGCTACTTGTAAATGATGGGACCCAATCATGACCTACCTGTAAATGATGGGACCCAATCATGACCTACCTGTAAATGATGGGATCCAATCATGAGCTACTTGTAAATGATGGGATCCAATCATGAGCTACTTGTAAATGATGGGACCCAATCATGACCTACCTGTAGATGATGGGACCCAATCATGACCTACCTGTAGATGATGGGACCCAATCATGACCTACCTGTAGATGATGGGACCCAATCATGACCTACCTGTAGATGATGGGACCCAATCATGACCTACCTGTAGATGATGGGACCCAATCATGACCTACCTGTAGCTGATGGGTGACAAACAAAATAGTTTTTCCTTTTAAACACTTGATGAGACACTGGCTGAAGATGTGACGGCCAACATGGATGTCGACAGCAGAGAGAGGGTCATCCAAAAGATAAACATCCTTGTCAGCATACACAGCTCTTGCCAGACTGATTCTCTGCTTCTGTCCACCACTCATATTGATACCACGCTCACCAATCTATAAAGGAAAGCATCCCCCATGTACCAGATGTAAACTGAGTCCTTCAAAGTGAGACGTTTATAAACTGTACAAAATGTTAGTGTTGAATCCACATTATTTTTGTTTATTGGATCAGTCTGGAAATAAAGCAACCACAACAAAGAACCAACAGAAACTGTAATAATGGAAATGAACAAAGAACTTAATGATGTTGTACTTTTCAAGTAACAGTGAAATAATAATAAAACTAGGAAGGACAGACAACAGGCAAACAATGCACCAAATATTAAGGGCAATTTGAATACCTATCTGTAAATATCTTAAAAATTTATCCAATGAGTCTTTTGGAAATTAATCCCTGTTTACCCATTTTAATTCTACTGTTCTATTTACTGCGAGTTTTGCACTAAATTGGTCAGCTTAGCTTTAGAATGCTCCATGCAAAATGTGGTTGAAATTCTAACATTTGTTTAAGAGAAATTTAAGAGATTTCTAACATCTGGTTGACAAAGGAGGACACAAAATGTCACCAAGTTAAATGATAAATCAAGACCTGAACATACCTCTGTCATATCTCCATCTACAAAATCTTTAAAATCTTCTTCAAGGGAACAAGCGTGGACCACATTCTTGTATCTATAACGTAACAGCATGAGTGAGTCGCAGAAAGAGGTTTTTATTTATAGAATAAGAACAATGAATCATCGACAACACAAAAGTTTTATGAGATGAGTCTGATTAAGGGAGACAAACTTGAACTTACTTCTCCTCATCATAGACCTGTCCAAATAAGATGTTTTCACGAGCAGATGCGTTCATAATCCAGGCCTGCTGGGATACGTATGCTATACTACCTTTCACAGCAACTTTTCCCGACAAAAGCACCATCTGTCAGGGTCAGAGAGGGATCAAATATGACAAAAAAACAAGGTTATTTCATCACTAAGTTCAATCCAAAATGGCGATTAACGAAAAACAAGAATCTGTGATCATTGATTCAGAATACAACTACTTATTAGACTGACCTTGACCTCTTACATAGGTTAATTCTTCACTAATTAAAGCAAGCACAAGTGTTAATAATCAAAGTTAACTATAGTGATGACCTGTTCACATAAAGGACTGATGAACTTGCTAGATGTTGCCTCACTTGCCCCATGATTTAAATTAATACATCACAATTCAAATTATTAATGACTGATCAGGAACCCTCCAGTATATATCCAAATACTTGCCCGTCCCATCACAGCTGAGATTAGGGAGCTCTTCCCACATCCAACACTTCCACAGACTCCAATCAACTTTCCCTACAAAGAGCAGATCAATAGTTAGCGATCCAAGAGAGGAACACAACCAACATTTTGTTCACTAGCAGTGTCATAACAAATGACTAAACATTTGTCACACATAGAACAAGAATTATCGTTACCTTCTCCAGTACACAGACACCATATAGTATGTTCTCACCTTCTCTAGTACACAGACACCATATATCATGTTCTCACCTTCTCCTGAGTACACAGACACCATATAGCATGTTCTCACCTTCTCCTGAGTACACAGACACCATATAGCATGTTCTCACCTTCTCTTGAGTACACAGACACCATATAGCATGTTCTCACCTTTTCCAGTACAAAGTTGAGATCAGTTAGGGTTTGTATAACATCAGGATTCGTATCTGCTACCTCTTCATTATCTTGCAGTCGTTGTTTTTCCTCAATCTTGCCATTCTTAGATTTTCCATTTGCAACTGTCAAAAGAAAATATAAAATAAAACTTATGTCTATATTTTTATCACTAATTCTTAAACTACATTAGATGCTACTCTCTCAAATTATAATGCTACAAATTAATGAACACAGACACCACAAGCTTAAGCAATGCCATTGAAGATACATGTTCCTGAACTCAAAGTTTGGTCTGTTAGCAAAGGTGACCTTAACCTTCGATCCCACACCATAAGGGCAACAAAAATATCAAATTTGATATCACAGGACAACTTGCTTTTCCCTGAATAGCAGTGCTGACACCAATTTTGAAAGTGAAACTTAATGAATGACTTTTAAAACTATAGAAGTGAAATTTAATTCAGAACCCCTCAAGCCTTACAACTACCACTATTTATAAAAGAATTTTTAATATACTTGTATAGGTTATTATCAACACTGCCTATCAACCATTTTTTTTAATTATAGGATTTGAAATACATGTACATGTATATCATTATTAGGTTACGTAAGAAATTATGTATCTGCCCAAAACTCCTATTGCACTGTGGGTACTTTCAGTCTCCTAACTTCTGAGTGATAGATCAATTGGTTAGAGAAGAGGTGCATCAGGTTTGACACTCAATACCTGTAGTGGTTTGTGTGTCTAAGGTAGTGTCCTTGGGACACTTTAGTGTAATTACTATAGATGACATGTGATGGGCCTCCTGTATGTTGTTCAGAGAGGTAAATATCAGCTACAACAAGGAGCTTTGCCTCAAAATGACCATGGCTGTTCACATGATAAAAAAAAGAAAAAAAAAACACAGCAAACAAATATATAACTCTGTATTGTACATACTCTTGGCTTTCATATTGTTGCCCTCCTTACTGCTGCTGGCGTCCCATCCAAAACTGGCTTTCTTCAGCACTATTACATGGTCTGGATTTGTGATCTGGGAGGCATGTGGTTTGATATCCTCCATTAACAGTACACTCTGAAAGGTCAAAAGTTACATGCAACACATTATGAAATATCATTCCACACAGGATACAAGCAGTAACAGTTAATTCATTTCCTGAGAGTGGCTAGACTTTTAAGTTTGTCAAATGTTACTAATCAATGAGAGGTTTCCTGTATGTACAAGTTACTGTCTGTACAGGTATATGTAAATGTATCTAGTCTTTCCTGAATTTATAAAGTTGAAACTGAACGAGAAAACCCAAACCTTCCACTCCCAAATACAACTAGAATTGTTATAACGTCACCCCCATCCTCTCTTAGAAATAATCAAAACAAGATATTGCAAAGCAATAATACTTTAGTAATTCATCCAATCGGCGTGTTAGAAGTTCATTTGGTTAATGTAAAACCGTTAACTGTTTATCATGATAAATAATAAATGCTCTAATCACTACAGGAAAGTACTGTATACAGGGTTTATTGAAACTCTGAAAAGCATGCTTTCACAAACTCACACTTTCTGAGATTAATCTGCACAAGTTACTTGAAAAATTATATGGAAACCAATTTTCTATTTATAATAACAGTGACCTTGACTTTTGACCTTTGGCAAGCTCATTCTTGAAGAAGCAATGGTCAAAGTCTGAGCAGAATGAAATATGGTAAAATTTGATTACAATATCCTTTACTGATTTTGATTGAAGGGAATAATAAACTTTTTGTTTTGTTCATGTTTACAGTTAAAGTTACAAGAAAATGGTTCAGAATAAGTAGAACAAGCAAGAAAAATGTTCAAAAATATCAAAAAAAGTAAATGTATGAAGAGAAACCAAGTATTATCAGCAAGAAAAATGTTCAAATATATCAAAAAAAAGTAAATGTATGAAGAGAAACCATGATATACCATAGGCAGGAACAATGTGTAGTAGGAATGATATACTATAGGCAGGAACAATGTACCATAGTATTATCAGCAAGAACAATGTACAAAAAATGTTCAATATTCAGGATATCTTAAATTAACTATGCATGTTCATTTAGCAACAATACTGCAAAATAAGCAGGAACAATGTATAATTAGTAGGAATGATATACCATAGGCAGGAACAATGTATAATTAGTAGGAATGATATACTATAGGCAGGAACAATGTATAATTAGTAGGAATGATATACCATAGGCAGGAACAATGTATAATTAGTAGGAATGATATACCATAGGCAGGAACAATGTATAATTAGTAGGAATGATATACCATAGGCAGGAACAATGTATAATTAGTAGGAATGACATACCATAGGCAGGAACAATGTATAATTAGTAGGAATGTTCAGTAACCAGAAACAGTGTTAATAAGCAGAAACAGTGTTAGCAGAAACAGTGTTAATAAGCAGAAACAGTGTTCAGTAACCACAAACAGCGTTAATGAACAGAAACAGTGTTCAATAAACGGGAACAATGGCCAAAAGGAAGTTGCAACTAAAAGCAAGGGCAAGGTTGACTAAAGACTTAGCTTCAGTGTATACTAATTGAAATTGAATTAGGAATAGTGTTTCACAGCCATTAAATGGCACATCAAATGTCAGAGGTCAGGTATGAATATGTATATTCTTGTAGTTTTCTAAGAATATTAGAATACAGTCATAAATTTTCTCACACATAAAATGTATGTCTGTATGTTTCAGAATCACCTGGACTTCAGGGATAGAAATCAAGCTTGACATCTCAAAAGATGTCCTTTCAAAAGTCTATAACATGTCACCAGACAGACCAATACACACCCAAACACACCAAAGTGTAATGATCACGGTTTCAAAAAGACTGAAAATGTGGAAAAAAAGTGTCTAACTGAAATTGAGAACACATAATTTGATGTCAATACAACACAGCCAACCAAGGTTCAAAGAAAGCCATTTCTCTTTTCACAGCACAGTCTAAATCATTATTGCTCATGTAAGTACAGTGTGTCACTTGTTAAAGGACAGATCCAGAGAGATTGAGGAACTATGAACAGAACAACTGCTTGATAAGGACAAGACACACCTGTCATCCTTCCTAACAAGACACACCTGTCACTCTTCCTAACAAGACACACCTGCCACCCTTCCTAACAAGACATACCTGCCACCCTTCCTAACAAGACACACCTGTCAACCTTCCTAAGAAGACACACCTGTCATCCTTCCTAACAAGACACACCTGCCACCCTTCCTAACAAGACACACCTGTCAAACTTCCTAACAAGACACACCTGTCATCCTTCCTAAGAAGACACACCTGTCATCCTTCCTAAGAAGACACACCTGCCACCCTTCCTAAGAAGACACACCTGTCAACCTTCCTAAGAAGACACACCTGTCATCCTTCCTAACAAGACACACCTGCCACCCTTCCTAACAAGACACACATGTCAACCTTCCTAACAAGACACACCTGTCATCCTTCCTAACAAGACACACCTGCCACCCTTCCTAACAAGACATACCTATCACCCGTCCTAACAAGACATACCTGTCACCCGTCCTAACAAGAAACATCTGTCACCTGTCACCCTTCCTAACAAGACACACCTGCCACCCTTCCTAACAAGACACACCTGTCATCCTTCCTTAGAAGACACACCTGTCATCCTTCCTAAGAAGACACACCTGCCACCCTTCCTAACAAGACAAACCTATCAACCTTCCTAAGAAGACACACCTGTCATCCTTCCTAACAAGACACACCTGCCACCCTTCCTAACAAGACACACATGTCAACCTTCCTAAGAAGACACACCTGTCATCCTTCCTAACAAGACACACCTAACAAGACACACATGTCAACCTTCCTAAGAAGACACACCTGTCATCCTTCCTAACAAGACACACCTGCCACCCTTCCTAACAAGACATACCTGTCACCCGTCCTAACAAGACATACCTGTCACCAATCCTAACAAGAAACATCTGTCACCTGTCATCCTTCCTAAGAAGACACACCTGCCACCCTTCCTAACAAGACACACCTGTCATCCTTCCTTAGAAGACACACCTGTCATCCTTCCTAAGAAGACACACCTGCCACCCTTCCTAACAAGACACACTAAGAAGACACACCTGTCATCCTTCCTAACAAGACACACCTGCCACCCTTCCTAACAAGACATACCTGTCACCAATCCTAACAAGAAACATCTGTCACCTGTCACCCTTCCTAACAAGACATACCTGTCACCCGTCCTAACAAGAAACACCCATCACCTGTCACCCTTCCTAACAAGAAACACCCATCACCTGTCACCCTTCCTTACAAGAAACACCCATCACCTGTCACCCTTCCTTACAAGAAACACCTATCACCTGTCACCCTTCCTAACAAGAAACACCCATCACCTGTCACCCTTCCTTACAAGACACACCCATCACCTGTCACCCTTCCTAACAAGAAACACCCATCACCTGTCACCCTTCCTTACAAGAAACACCCATCACCTGTCACCCTTCCTAACAAGAAACACCCATCACCTGTCACCCTTCCTTACAAGACACACCCATCACCTGTCACCCTTCCTTACAAGAAACACCCATCACCTGTCACCCTTCCTAACAAGACACACCCATCACCTGTCACCCTTCCTAACAAGACACACCCATCACCTGTCACCCTTCCTAACAAGACACACCCATCACCTGTCACCCTTCCTAACAAGACACACCCATCACCAGTCACCCTTCCTTACAAGACACACCCATCACCTGTCACCCTTCCTAACAAGACACACCCATCACCTGTCACCCTTCCTAACAAGACACACCCATCACCTGTCACCCTTCCTTACAAGACACACCCATCACCTGTCACCCTTCCTTACAAGACACACCCATCATCTGTCACCCTTCCTTACAAGACACACCCATCACCTGTCACCCTTCCTTACAAGACACACCCATCACCTGTCACCCTTCCTTACAAGACACACTCATCACCTGTCACCCTTTCTTAAATAAACAGCAATTTCTTTACTTTGATAGAACTTAACTGTATCAGTCAACTCCTTGTTAATAAAAACTGCAGTTGGTAAAGTCAGCAATTTGTGGGTTTTTATAGCTTCAGTGTTACAGCCAGGCAAATGTTGGCTGTAGTACTTATACTCTGCCCTTTGCTAGACACATCCAAAATATGACTGACTGTTAGATTTGAAATATCTTATCCAATGATTTTCAAATGTATACCATGATGAATGCTTTCTTGTACTTCAGCTCACACTTTTATCAATGTAAACACTAAACATGATCAAATTTCAATCATCTGAAGAAGCCTAGCCTAGCGGGTGAAAGATATACAATGTACTCATTAAGGTAATCCAGTTTCATATTTTGTCACTGTTTGGAGCTTTTACTTTTGGATAAAAATCCAAACTGATGACCAAATTTTTGTCTTGATATAACAGTCTCCTTTGGGATGGTATCAGCACATTTGCCTGTGGACTTATCCTGAATGGCTGACTACGTGCAATGAGGTACATTCAGGTTTGTTATTTACAGACAGAGGATTATCACCATACCTTAAATCTGGCGCCACTAATCTTCAAATCTGTAAGAGTACGCACAGCCCCTGGTATCTGAGCCATCGCAGGCTTAAGCTTACTATGGATAGCGAGAAATGTGAAAGCCTGCAGAATCAGTAACAGAATGGAGATTTAGAACTGTAAAGCTAAAATATCTTCTCGGTCTGGTGTTTCCGTAAAGCTGTGACATCGAACGTAACCAATGTCACACAAAGCAACAGCACTAGCCTGAAAGAAACAGCTCACCAAGTAGGAAAAAGACTATTGAACCCCAGGAAAAAATGCATTCAGACCTAAAACAATCAAATCAATTTTTTCAAAATCCTACCAGTTGTTAGTCCTGAAGGAACTGATCACACAGAAACCTGATAATTGTTTCAAAATAAAAGCTACCTTTTACAGCAAGGCATTATATCAGATACACATCCCTGACCTTTTATTTCAAAAGTGTGACCTTAAATCCTTTAACAAGGAATTATTGACCACCAAACCCTAGTGAGAAGAACCACATGTTATGATACCAGTTTCATTATATATCAATTGCTTATCTATGATTGAACATCAATAATTCAAGATTTTCATTAAAAAAATATCCAATTTCAATCACAACTGATTCCTGCCTTCATACATGTGCTTGGTCCAACACTGAGCTTGCCCTCAAGATGGATGTGTATAACCTTACTTCAGCATAGAAAATAAATAAATGTGCTGAGGGCTTCAAGATATATCTTCTACATACCACCTACTACTCAACACACCCTACCATACAGCAGATGTATCACCAATTCTATAATACAACATTTACTATTGACCTCTGACAATGTATACTGATTCATACCCCAGCTGGTTACAAGAAGTAAGAAGTTTATTTCCAGAAAACTGACAACATTGATGTACCTCAAAAAGAAATGAGAGAAAAGTATGGGTGATAAAATGGAGGAAAGAGGTGACCATGGGGTGTAAGTTTTAATTGAGGATGTAGGTCTGCATATAATGTGTTGGCTGGAACAAAGGAAAACAGGGTATGCTTATATGCCTAGTACAAGTAATACTATTTCAACAACCTGGCACGTCAACAAACAATACTAAAGCCTTCCCTATCACTGACCTTGATCCTCTCCCCAGACACTTTTACGTCAGCATAAGTTTTCACTAGTTTGGGTATTTGACCAATAGTACGCTTCAATGAGTTGTTGGTGGCAACCAGGACGAATGCCTAAAATCATTTCAGAAAATATTTGGAAATAACACTTAAGATTTAATTATGCGAATAAAAAACCCGTGGGAGAGAAATCCGAAAACTCCTCAGAAGTCACCAGCTACCCAGAAAAAATTCTTCAACGTGTTTGAAATCAGACAAATCAGAGAGAATCATCAATGTCAGCGGTCAGGTCAATAAGAACATTTGTAATAACAGCCACCTGGAAAATCTGTAGACACATCAGAAATCTCTGTCACATAAGATTCCTAAATTACCAGTCAAAGAGAAAATCTGTAGACACATCAGAAATCTCTGTCACATAAGATTCCTAAATTACCAGTCAAAGAGAAAAATCTGTAGACACATCAGAAATCTCTGTCACATAAGATTCCTAAATTACCAGTCAAAGAGAAAATCTGTAGACACATCAGAAATCTCTGTCACATAAGATTCCTAAATTACCAGTCAAAGAGAAAATCTGTAGACACATCAGAAATCTCTGTCACATAAGATTCCTAAATCACCTGCCAAAGAAAAAAATCCTAAAACTTGTTTTAAGCTGAGAGTTACTATAAAAGGATCTTTGAACTCGTTAGGGGTTCAGTAGTCAATGTAAAACTCATCTCAGACTAGCAGAAATGGAACAACTGCAGTGAGAGGAATTGTTGGTCACTGGCCTTAGCATGGAAATATCACAGGACAAAGTATGATGGTAGTTTGCTGAAAGGTGAGAAAAGGATAAGTCTGTCAGAATGAATTGGTCACTTGTCAAAGTGTGATGAGTTGGTCACTTATCAAAGTGTGATGAGTTGGTCACTTGTCAAAGTGTGATGAGTTTGTCACTTGTCAAAGTGTGATGAGTTGGTCACTTGTCAAAGTGTGATGAGTTTGTCACTTGTCAAAGTGTGATGAGTTTGTCACTAACCAAAGTGTGACGAGTTTGTCACTTGTCAAAGTGTGATGAGTTGGTCATTAGTCTAAAGATGAAATAAAAATTTCGTCTCTAGTCTTATATAATACAGTGTATGTAGAGAATGGTCACTAACAAAAGTATGAAAAAGGATCAGTCACTGGCTAATGTGTCAGAATAAACTGGTCATTAGCCTAACTGATGTGTAGGAATGAGTTGGTTGTAAGCCTTACTGATGTGTAAAAATGAGTTGGTTATAAGCCTAACTGATGTGTAAGAATGAGTAGGTCATTGAATGACAAGGCTTTAGAGTTAGTTACAAGTATTTGCCTAACTGATGTGTAGGAATGAGTAGGTCATTGAATGACAAGGCTTTAGAGTTAGTTACAAGTATTTGCCTAACTGATGTGTAAGAATGAGTAGGTCATTGAATGACAAGGCTTTAGAGTTAGTTACAAGTATTTGCCTAACTGATGTGTAGGAATGAGTAGGTCATTGAATGACAAGGCTTTAGAGTTAGTTACAAGTATTTGCCTAACTGATGTGTAGGAATGAGTAGGTCATTGAATGACAAGGCTTTAGAGTTAGTTACAAGTATTTGCCTAACTGATGTGTAGGAATGAGTAGGTCATTGAATGACAAGGCTTTAGAGTTAGTTACAAGTATTTGCCTAACTGATGTGTAGGAATGAGTAGGTCATTGAATGACAAGGCTTTAGAGTTAGTTACAAGTATTTGCCTAACTGATGTGTAGGAATGAGTAGGTCATTGAATGACAAGGCTTTAGAGTTAGTTACAAGTATTTGCCTAACTGATGAATAAGAATGAATGGTTATAAGCCTAACTGATGTGTAAGAATGAGTAGGTCATTGAATGACAAGGCTTTAGAGTTAGTTACAAGTATTTGCCTAACTGATGAATAAGAATGAATGGTTATAAGCCTAACTGATGTGTAAGAATGAGTAGGTCATTGAATGACAAGGCTTTAGAGTTAGTTACAAGTATTTGCCTAACTGATGTGTAGGAATGAGTAGGTCATTGAATGACAAGGCTTTAGAGTTAGTTACAAGTATTTGCCTAACTGATGTGTAGGAATGAGTAGGTCATTGAATGACAAGGCTTTAGAGTTAGTTACAAGTATTTGCCTAACTGATGTGTAAGAATGAGTAGGTCATTGAATGACAAGGCTTTAGAGTTAGTTACAAGTATTTGCCTAACTGATGTGTAGGAATGAGTAGGTCATTGAATGACAAGGCTTTAGAGTTAGTTACAAGTATTTGCCTAACTGATGTGTAGGAATGAGTAGGTCATTGAATGACAAGGCTTTAGAGTTAGTTACAAGTATTTGCCTAACTGATGTGTAGGAATGAGTAGGTCATTGAATGACAAGGCTTTAGAGTTAGTTACAAGTATTTGCCTAACTGATGAATAAGAATGAATGGTTATAAGCCTAACTGATGTGTAAGAATGAGTAGGTCATTGAATGACAAGGCTTTAGAGTTAGTTACAAGTATTTGCCTAACTGATGAATAAGAATGAATGGTTATAAGCCTAACTGATGTGTAGGAATGAGTAGGTCATTGAATGACAAGGCTTTAGAGTTAGTTACAAGTATTTGCCTAACTGATGTGTAGGAATGAGTAGGTCATTGAATGACAAGGCTTTAGAGTTAGTTACAAGTATTTGCCTAACTGATGTGTAGGAATGAGTAGGTCATTGAATGACAAGGCTTTAGAGTTAGTTACAAGTATTTGCCTAACTGATGAATAAGAATGAATGGTTATAAGCCTAACTGATGTGTAGGAATGAGTAGGTCATTGAATGACAAGGCTTTAGAGTTAGTTACAAGTATTTGCCTAACTGATGTGTAGGAATGAGTAGGTCATTGAATGACAAGGCTTTAGAGTTAGTTACAAGTATTTGCCTAACTGATGTGTAGGAATGAGTAGGTCATTGAATGACAAGGCTTTAGAGTTAGTTACAAGTATTTGCCTAACTGATGTGTAGGAATGAGTAGGTCATTGAATGACAAGGCTTTAGAGTTAGTTACAAGTATTTGCCTAACTGATGTGTAAGAATATAAACTGATGATACAGCTTCTCTATTTTATGTGTTGGTCTTGACAATGTGTTTGCCACCATGCAAAGTGTGGAAACAGGAAAGTTTGAGACGTAGAAAGTCAGTGATTTAAGGGATAAGATGAGAAGGTTCCTCAAACCCTGTTAGTACAGAGGAATTGAAAATGGTAGCTATAAAAAGCAAGCTACAACACAGAAAACAGTCTAGAAGACCAGAATTACAAACCTCACCGACATAAGTATTATCTCAACACCTAGTGCTTTACCTTACAACGTGTAAATGATACTAGAGCTTCAGCAATCGCTCGTACTGCATAGGGAATAACTCCGAGGGCAAACCTCATGGAGTTGAAAACTGCTAAAAGAGTAAACGCCTGAAAAAAATTTCCATTAGTTTTTAATGATGAATGAAAAAATATTTAATAGATTTGTTTTAGAGCCAATCAAGTGTTCATGCCTTATTTATACATTTGTATAAACACAAACAAGATACTGGATGGTTTTACATTTATATCATATATATATTTCTTGAGTATAATAGAATATCTATACTTTTTACACAAGCGAAACACAAGTGAAAAATATAGATATATTCTGCCATACTAGTGTTATATATATGATATTTCATGGGAATCATCACTTTTTTATTACATTCTTAAAAGGAATAACAAATAAAAATACAGCCAATCCAAAAAGAATGCTCCCTGAAAACAACTTAATTAGACACAAAATTTAATCAAAGGGCAATAATTCTGTAATTTAAGGTTACATTGTGACACCTGATGATAGTGTAACAATGTGACATCTGATGACAGGGTTACATTGTGACATCTGATGATAGTATTACATTGTGACATCTGATGATAGTGTAACATTGTGACATCTGATGACAAGGTTACAATGTGACATCTGATGACAGGGTTACATTGTGACACCAGATGACAGGGTTACATAGTGACACCAGATGACAGGGTTACATTGTGACATCTGATGACATTGTTACATTGTGACACCAGATGACAGGGTTACATTGTGACACCAGATGACAGTAACATTGTGACACCAGATGACGGTAACATTGTGTCACCGGCTTTTCATGAATTTATTGTGAGGAACATTCTATAAATATGAGATAACAATGGTTCACGTATTATTAACTTTTTCAGCTCTGAATTTGTATTTTTGATATAATTACTAGTTTTGCTAAATTAAGTGTTGCATTTTCATGATTGAAAATGTGCTTTAAGAACAGGGGGGCCTTTAGGCCTTTATCATTCACTTGCCTGGCAACTTATAAGTTAAGTTTATTATAATGTACCAATACAGGATCATTTAAGATCCTCAACACTGGACTCAAATATACAATAATAACAATACTTTCAATCAATCAATTGTGACTACAGTTCAAAATTCTAAATAATTAATAGATAAATTTTCTTGATCTCTAAATGTGTATTTTAATCAAATCATGATAATTTTACATACTGTGATTGATCAGTTGTTTTACAGTTAATCATTACTACATTTCAAATGTTTGTACTTACCTGTGCTGCCGTGAGATCATTTCCTGTCAACACATGTGCGAGAATGACAAATGCAGAGGCCATAACAGGCACCATGGGGGCCGAGGATGTGCTGATACCCTGCACTATAGCAGCTTTCTCTAGTATATGTCTCTCATCAGACCTTATACCTATACAACACATGACAATTCTCACTGTAAACTGCTTCAACCAATCCTAGAGGTTATACAATGTGTAAGATTGTCAACAATTTGTATATATATATTTATATATGTCAGAAATAAAATTAATGATTGGAACAAAGCATCACAAACATTACAGAGCCTTACATAGTTCATGTTTACTGATATGAAGGTAGAAAGATTGCCAAGTGCATGAAGTTTGATCCAATGCCTTCAAGGAATGAAGCCCTTAGTGTGCCTATAAAGTAATGGTGACCTTGACCTCATTGCCCCTGCAACTCAAACTTGTCACAGCAATTATTGCCCTGTATAAAATCTGTGTGCATTTTGATCAAAATCCCTGAAGGAATGAAGCTACTAAATTGCTGAAAAGAATTTTTAATATCTTTATGTCAACTTTGACCTAGCACTTACAACCCTGAAACTAGAACTTGAGATATAACGGTTGTCGAGATGAATGTGAAGTTTGATCTAAATCATGACCATACATATGATCATAGGACCATACATAGGATAATATAACAATACACATAACCATAAGACTAGTCATTTGATCATATCTATGACTAAATGACCATACATATGACAATATACATGACCATATATGAACGAGTGTACATGTTATTATACATATTACCAAACCATATATATGACAATATGACAATACATATGACAATACAAATATACTGTAACATCCCTTTCAGTTTCAGGATGATTATTACATAAATAAACACTCAAAATGGGATTTATGCCAATTTTCTTGAATTTACAAACTTATACAAATTAATTATTTCAGAATTTCAGAAATTAAATTGGTATTAAGAATCAACAACAATAAGAAATTATTGTAACAATGAATCGCCTCAGATTACTGCAAAATTTCAACTTTTAAAACTTCAATAAATTATAAGTAATTGTATATTACCTGATATTTTTTTGGTAAATGGCACTTCCCAGGCATACATCTTGATGAGTTTTATACAGGTAAGTAGTTCTGACATCATTCGCACCTGGAATTTAATTAGAAATACACCTGTTCAGTAGTTTTACTATCGTTTGTACCTGTATCATTGATTAGTTTTGTACAGGTAAGTAGCTTCAACATCAATCATTTGTATCTTCAGTAGTATAACAGGGTTACAAATTCATCGTGACAGCTATGAGCTAAAATGAGAGATTTAAGAATCTTACCAAGAAAAGACATCAGTTTAGTGATACCTGTGTCTATAGAGTGTATTTATATAAAGTATCTTGAACAAGTACAATAAACATTATCTGTACCAAAAGACACAGGGTAAATGTACAAGTATACCAGCAGAGTCTACATCAATTCTACATAGGAGATATAGGGAACACTTTCATTTCTTTGTAACTCATATGTCTCCTCTTTGTAGTTATAATGTATTGTCTCCCCTGTGGATGCTGTATACTAAAGTGTCCCTTTTACCACTTACCCGTTTGTCTGTGATCTTAATTCCTTTCCGCCTGTAGTAAGCTGTCAGTTTACTAATCATTGCCTGAAATGTGAATACAATGCTTTAAAGTTGGTACAATATCTTACGTACACCAATCATATACTAAATATGCACTTGAAGTATGATCTAGGTGTGTTTGAGAGACTTGATCCACCATCCCCTCCTCCCCAGTAGCAACCAATATAAAGTATGGAGCTTTTTATTGTTATAAATAGAAAGCGTACATATGATTATCAAATTTGTGACAAGTAATGCTTGATCAAGCTAGAATGAAATCCAAAGCTAACAACAAGCTAAAAGTGAACATAAACTGAAATTTTCCAGTCAAAGTTCAAGGGTCGTGACTTAGGAACCAAGATAAACATCATATAATTACCTACAATGTTACCAGAGAACACAACACCTAATAGAAAGGTTTGTTAAAGTGAAGAAATTATCAAGATGTCCCCTCCAACACAAATTATCTTTCCTATTATTATTTTCCCTCTGGATTCCTTACTGAAGCCCAACTTTCGCTATCACCCTATCCATAAGACGATCTAAACATGAAAACTGTTTTACTATGTAGCAAATATGAATTCCCTTCCCACTGATGCTATTATAGATTTTGAAATGAGAGTGACAATATGGCAGCACTATAGAAAACAATTTATGGTATTGTGCAATGAGACTCAAAGTAGTTTACAAAAGAATACAACAAAAACCAACAGACAGTTTCTGATCAAACTCGGACAGCTGGTTTGGTGTAACTTTCACAAGTATGGACTGTGACCTTCTGACCTATAAAAAATATCCTAACCTACAGAAAATACAAAATACAAAATGCTTTCTTTAAGACTCAAGGGCTCAAAACTTGTTAATATGTATCTCATAGCACTGATTGCATTGTCAGATACTCATTCTTAGGGAGTGCCTGTTTCATACTCTCATTAACTTGGATTTAATAACTCCATCTGTTATACAGTAAACAGAATAGAAACCAAATCATGATGACAGTTAACGACAACACTAGAGCCAAGATATTTCGTGGCAGGGGGCATGGAAACAAAATGCAATGATACAACTTGTACATGTATGTCTATATGCTGCATATACATCATACAAATATTTGTATGCAGGTAAATATGGATTTACAAAATGAAAACTCCTTTATCAATTACGACATAAAAGTCTTTAAAAACACATTATTTGTGCTATCTATCCTGACAATATAAACATTCGTAAAAATAAACCATATACCAGGTAAATTTTAAAATATATCAAATTTTTTAAAATTTAAAACAGCAGTCTGAGGGTTGGGGAAAGGAAATGTAGACCAATTGTTTGAGCCTTGGGGTTGGAGGAAAGGAAATGTAGACCAATTGTTTGAGCCTTGGGGTTGGAGGAAAGGAAATGTAGACCAATTGTTTGAGCCTTGGGGTTGGAGGAAAGGAAATGTAGACCATTTGTTTGAGTCTGGGGGTTGGAGGAAAGGAAATGTTGGCTAATTGTTTTAGTTTGAGGGTAGGGGAAAAGGAAATGAAAATAAATTGTTTGAGTCTAAGGATGGGGAAAAAGGAAATGTAGACCAATTGTTTTAGTTTGAGGGTAGGGAAAAAGGAAATGTTGACTAATTTTTTGAATCTGAAATTGGGGAAAAATGATAGAGTTTTTTCATATCTGCCATTATAACTTACCATGAAAGGGTAAAATGCTAGGTAGGTGGCACTCCCTACAAGAGCCCATGGTCCAATCAGGTATACTGTGTATACGACACCATACAATAACACCACCGGCCCTCCAATCAACAAGGGGCCTATGGCTGCTGCTTCAAACACTCGCTGACCATCATTGCTACACAGGTTTACCAGCTACAACATAAAGTATAAATGTGTTGATGAAGTCTTCTTGTTTTGGTCTAGGTTTTAGGGTTGTATGCTACAGTATATACAACACACTATTATAATAAATGTTGGGTTGAGTCAGGAGATGTCTCTTCATTCAGAATTTTGTGGACAAATGTCTTCAATCAAATACTTAGTTTAAAAATCATCAGAAAATATGAATTATAAATGTATGCCAGTCATCCCTTCAAATTTTCTCTAGAGAGAGTCTGTCAGCTTTAGTTCATACCTAAAACAATTATCTTTACTATAGCCACATTTGTCCCAGGAAAAAAATGGTTATGTTTTAGTTTTCAATCTTTTAACAGCCTTTTTTCCCAAACTGACAAACAATATGCCAAATCCTCCATTTTTTAAACTATTATTTTCAATTGTTTCCCTCCATCAATAACCACTCAACTGTTTTGTTACAGTGATGATATAGCCACTTAAGATTCAAGACAACACGTCTGGCAAATTTGAAAAATATTTAGAATGAGAGTCGTATTATACTATAATAGTCTTACTTCTCCCACAGACTTATTCTTCAGGCTTCGCAGTTTCAGTATCTTCTTGTAGATCAGGCTAAGTGTCGCTGCTCTGAGTCTCACACCTAGAGATAAAAGCAGGGAGAGTTAAGGTGGAGTAAGTGAGACTTAAATATTACAGTATATTTATAGAGTAAAAGTGTTTAACCTCTTTTTTAAATAAAAATACACAGAAAATGATATCTACATTAAAGCTACTGTAAGTACTGAGTCACCTGTTTCCAAGGATAATTATTTCAACTCTATGGTTCACATTTCTATGAAATTTATTTGAAATGTAACATATTAATGAGTGACCATATGCCCATGTAATTCAGGGATTACCGATGATGACAACATAATTATCTAAAATAGTATTTCATTCTCAATGTAACGACTGACAATTATCCACAGCAGAATGGAACAGATTTATGGAAACTATGCATAAAACTATAATTTTTTTATTTTTAATTACATAATCCTTTTGTGATTTAGATTTAGTGTCATATATCACATTAATAATGTTGTACATTAAAATAGTAAAATTGTAATATTCATATTACATATAATCAAAATTACTGCAAACGTCCAAACACTGCAGGGTTATTATCTGGGAAAGCTGTCAAAACACTGTGGGGTTATTATCTGGGAAAGCTGTCAAAACACTGTGGGGTTATTATCTGGGAAAGCTGTCAAAACACTGCGGGGTTATTATCTGGGAAAGCTGTCAAAACACTGCGGGGTTATTATCTGGGAAAGCTGTCAAAACACTGCGGGGTTATTATCTGGGAAAGCTGTCAAAACACTGTGGGGTTAATATCTGGGAAAGCTGTCAAAACACTGCGGGGTTATTATCTGGGAAAACTGTCAAAACACTGTGGGGTTATTTTCTTGATAAACTGTCAAAACATGTGGGGTTATTTTCTTGATAAACTGTCAAATCACTGTGGTAATTATCTGGGAAAACTATCAAATCATTGTGGGGTAATCTTCTCAGTAAACTGCTAAACACTGTGAGGTAATTCTCTAAATAAACTGTCAAACGCTAGGCTTATTGTCCTGTACCAAGGCAATCCCATTACTGGATCAGTGGTAAAATGTCAGCGCCCAGGGCTTATTGTCCTGTACCAAGGCAATCCCATTACTGGATCAGTGGTAAAATGTCAGAGCCCAGGGCTTATTGACCTGTACCAAGGCAATCCCATTACTGGATCAGTGGTAAAATGTCAGCGCCCAGGGCTTATTGTCCTGTACCAAGGCAATCCCATTACTGGATCAGTGGTAAAATGTCACCACCCTGGGCTTATTGTCCTGTATCAAGGCAATCTCATTACTGGATCAGTGGTAAAATGTTGGCATTCTGGGCTTATTGTCCTGTACCAAGGCAATCCATTACTGGATCAGTGGTAAAATGTCAGTGCCCAGGGCTTATTGTCCTGTACCAAGGCAATCCCATTACTGGATCAGTGGTAAAATGTCAGTGCCCAGGGCTTATTGTCCTGTACCAAGGCAATCCCATTACTGGATCAGTGGTAAAATGTCAGAGCCCAGGGCTTATTGACCTGTACCAAGGCAATCCCATTACTGGATCAGTGGTAAAATGTCAGCGCCCAGGGCTTATTGTCCTGTACCAAGGCAATCCCATTACTGGATCAGTGGTAAAATGTCAGCGCCCAGGGCTTATTGTCCTGTACCAAGGCAATCCCATTACTGGATCAGTGGTAAAATGTCAGCGCAAAGGGTTTTTTGTCCTGTACCAAGGCAATCCCATTACTGGATCAGTGGTAAAATGTCAGCGCCCAGGGCTTATTGTCTTGTACCAAGGCAATCCCATTACTGGATCAGTGGTAAAATGTCAGCGCAAAGGGTTTTTTGTCCTGTACCAAGGCAATCCCATTACTGGATCAGTGGTAAAATGTCAGCACCCTGGGCTTATTGTCCTGTATCAAGGCAATCCCATTACTGGATCAGTGGTAAAATGTTGGCATTCTGGGCTTATTGTCCTGTACCAAGGCAATCCCATTACTGGATCAGTGGTAAAATGTCAGCACCCTGGGCTTATTGTCCTGTATCAAGGCAATCCCATTACTGGATCAGTGGTAAAATGTTGGCATTCTGGGCTTATTGTCCTGTACTAAGGCAATCCCATTACTGGATCAGTGGTAAAATGTCAGCGCAAAGGGTTTTTTGTCCTGTACCAAGGCAATCCCATTACTGGATCAGTGGTAAAATGTCAGCGCCCAGGGTTTATTGTCCTGTATCAAGGCAATCTCATTACTGGATCAGTGGTAAAATGTCACCACCCTGGGCTTATTGTCCTGTATCAAGGCAATCTCATTACTGGATCAGTGGTAAAATGTTGGCATTCTGGGCTTATTGTCCTGTAGGAATGTCTTTGGATTATAGGTAAAATATAATAAGGGCTCCCTAGGCATACTGACAATAAATAAGGTCACAGACCGGAACACGTATTCTGACCAGTGAGGACACAATCAGTACTGACCTGTTGTATAGTTAGTTATCCAGCCAAGGGCAAACATCAATGTCCGACAGAACTCCATCACTGAGATAATAATCACCAGCATCACACCATAACCAACGTCAAATTTCTCTCTGTCAGATAAAATCTTTAGTAGCCTGTTCAGTACTATTGCCTGAAATAGAGAGTGTGAAATTAACACTGAAATACAGCTTCCATTACACAATGTACATTGTACATAATATAATACACTCGCTATATGTATATAGATCTTGTCTTTTAATTTGATGTCATTTGCCAAAAGAATCCAGTGATGGCGAAATAAAATCCTGCTACGCCATATAACACCTGTAGATGAGTAACTTAATGTCAGTTTTACCTGTAGATGAGTAACTTAATGTCAGTTTTACCTGTAGATGAGTAACTTAATGTCAGTTTTACCTGTAGATGAGTAACTTAATGTCAGTTTTACCTGTAGATGAGTAACTTAATGTCAGTTTTACCTGTAGATGAGTAACTTAATGTCAGTTTTACCTGTAGATGAGTAACTTAATGTCAGTTTTATCTGTAGATCAGTAATTTGATGTCAGTTTTATCTGTAGATCAGTAATTTATCATCAATTTTACCTGTAGATAAGCAATTTATTGTCAGTTTTACCTGTAGATAAGTAATTTATTGTCAGTTTTACCTGTAGATAAGTAATTTATTGTCAGTTTTACCTGTAGATAAGTAATTTATTGTCAGTTTTACCTGTAGATAAGTAATTTATCATCAATTTTGACACCAGTTGCTGCTACATTAAAGTCACAATGTTCTGGGATTTTTAAATTAATATTTCATCTTTTACAGAATAAATTTCAAATACAGTTTAAATTCTTTACATGCTTTTTTACTTACAGGAGCAAAGAAGCTGAAGCTAACAGATAAAACGAAAGTGATTCCACCAAAGAAGAGACGCGTTCTTACAGCCCTGAAAATCACCCAGCCAAAAGAAGCCTTCTCCGGGCCCTTCCTCTTCAGCTCCTCTTTCCATAGTTTTTCTAGTCTGGAACAGACAGCAAAAAATCCTAAGAAGTGTTATATTCTGTGTTTCAGATCTCTTTCACATTATCTTGATATTTTCTTAAATAAATATAGAAACAACTAAATCTCAAAAGAATACTGAACCTGTACAGTTTTGACAAAAGTGCCGTTACTGACATCATCAGCTGATTAATTCATATAGGTTGTTAATAAAGTATGATCAAAATTGTATATGTTTATCTCTTAATACACGTGTATCTTTGTTCCTTTAATATACTTTTAATAACAATATTAATTTAGTTGATGTTAGTGCTCTATATAGCAAGGAACCGAGTACCTTTACTCTGATTTAAATTTCAACACTGCTGTTTTGTTTACTTTTTCAGATAAAGGAATAATCTAAAATTTTTCTGATTTAAATTTAAACACTGCTACAACGTTTTGTTTACCTTTCTGATGTAAAGGAATCACTTATCTTTATCTGATTTAAAATTCAACGCTGTTACAATGTTTTCTTTATCTTTCTGAGATAAAGGAATCATTTATCTCACCTCTGATTAAAAAGTCAACACTGCTACATTGTATTATTAAGCATACTATGAGTTTAAATTAGGCCTATAACCTTGCGTTGCATTTTACTATGCTTATTTTAATATCTATTATTATCTCTTGGGGGCTCTCACTCTGTTTTACCTGCGTGTTATCACTCTGTTAAAACATACGTTCATTTTTTGGCTCTTAATTCTTGGGGAATTTTACCCCCAATTCATAATAATAGAATATTCCCAATTTGTTTCAGCTTCTCTCATATCGTTGAGGGTCTAGCTAACATTTTCAGCTTCTCTCATATCGTTGAGGGTCTAGCTGGTGGTGAATATTCTATTTATAATGCTGTTTTTCTAGGGCCACTTGCAGAGTCTAGTAGCTTCTCTGGTATCGTCCAGGGTCTAGTAACTTCTCTGTAGGGACTCTTAATCTAGCTCCGAAACAGCTCAGAGTCTTGTTTTAAGTTATAATTTTCTAGTAGTTAATAGTGATTATGAATAGAGTGAGTAGCCCCTGTTACGCCAAACCGTAGCTTGTCTATTTTCTTTAGTGTAATAAACATTTAACTGTTCTTGTGCGTTCTTGTTGTATATAAACCTCTGATTAAAAAGTCAACACTGCTACAATGTTCTGTTTACCTTTCTGAGTTAATTTCTGCTCTATTTTTGTCGCTACATCTCATGTTGGTGATGAAACCGGAGCCTTTTTTGTAGATCTTCCACATGATGGGGGTCAGCCAGGCATAGGTAAGCAAAGAGAAAAACCCTGCTGTAGCCTCTGGAAGTTCATCTTTGGGACTTAAGATAAACAAAAGGTGTAGAAAAAAATTTACATACAACAAAACTGAAAAACATATCACAATCTTTGAATGACATAAACTTCATTTTGAGATTTGTGGACCATGAGCAAAACAGCAATTTAAAGAAAAAGGGGTGATCTATTTTTCCGTTTTATGGCTTCAGTATTTACTTAGTCTGATAACATTATTATGTAAAAGCATATTCTGTGTTTCTTGAATTGCAAGTCTTAGAGTACAAAAATCTGATATTCAAAATTAGGGCTACCATACACTGCTGCCATAAACAAGCATGCATATGTGTTATTGTCATACTTTCACTTTAGGATAACTTAATAGAGATAACAATCTGATACATGTACAGATTTAATAACTAATACACAACTGGTAATTCTAAAATTACTTATGGTACAAGTTCATTAATAAACATAGCTATTTATAACTCACGCTTTGGCTGTCCTGTAAGGCTTCAGTGAATTAAGAGCATGTCTGTACTTCCGAATCCCTCGCTTTTGTCTGGTACTGAGATCCAGACCAGATGCCATCTGACACTCAAGGTCAAGTAACCTACAAATAATAGCATTAATTCTGTTTATCTACACAAAAATAGACAATTAACACAGAAAACATCACTTTATCTACACAACAATAGACAATTAACACAGAAAACATCCTTTATCTACACAACAATAGACAATTAACACAGAAAACATCCTTTATCTACACAACAATAGACAATTAACACAGAAAACATCCTTTATCTACACAACAATAGACAATTAACACAGAAAACATCCTTTATCTACACAACAATAGACAATTAACACAGAAAACATCCTTTATCTACACAACAATAGACAATTAACACAGAAAACATCATTTATCCACACAACAATAGACAATTAACACAGAAAAAATCTACACAACAATAGGCAATTAACACAGAAAACATCCTTTATCCACACAACAATAGACAATTAACACAGAAAACATCCTTTATCCACACAACAATAGACAATTAACACAGAAAACATCCTTTATCTACACAACAATAGACAATTAACACAGAAAACATCCTTTATCTACACAACAATAGACAATTAACACAGAAAACATCCTTTATCTACACAACAATAGACAATTAACACAGAAAACATCGCTTGATCCACACAACAATAGTCAGACAACTAACCCAGTAAATATTACTAAATCAACACAACCATAGATAATTAATGATTAAAAATCAGTTTATCTACACAATTATTTAATTTATTTACCCTGCATCATCACTGTCAGAATCATCATTTTCTTCCTCTTCTTCCTCCCTCAGATGATCAGGTATTCCATCTGTGTCTTCTTTTGATTTGAGTGGAGAAGTTGCTGTGATCGTGTCAAAGTCAGCATCATCATCTTGTTTATCGTCCATCATAAAATTCTACAATGATATCAATCACCCTGTTTTAGTTTTATCGTAGTAAACAGAGCTAAGGCTGTATCTAACTCTTTGTCTTACACTCTATCAACGCCTGTAACCTTTCATATCAATACTGTAACAGAGGTCAAAGATTTGATACCAAGAAAAGACAATAGGTAAATGACTTCCATTGAGAACATTAAAAAATATTTACATCATTTTATACATACATTAACACTTAAACTAGAGAGGTAAACTACGTCATTGTGTGTGTACTTAGCTCACTTATTCTCCTTCCTCCTACATAAAACCTTGAATAAGATATTTATGTAAATGTGAAACTTACATATAACTTACATACAATACAGTTTGATATCCACAAACCTTGAATAAGATATTTATGTAAATGAACTTACATATAACTTACTTACAATACAGTTTGGTATCTACAAACCTTAAATAAGATATTTATGTAAACGTGTAAGTGAAATCACAGATAACTCACAACACAGTACGGTATCTAAATCTGAAGATTGATAACAATGTCTGTACAGATAGTTCCTTCCTTATATAGAGTGCAGTTCAAATAACTGAGTGTTAAACCCTACCTTTAAAATGACCCAGTCTAGTTAGTAACCCTACTAGGATTGACAACACAGATAGTGATGTCAGCTTTGAACACTACCAGTCTTTATAATGACCTTACTAAGGGTTTATAATGTCACAAATAATGACCCTAACGTTACCCGACTTTCTGAACATATTGAAACAGAAATTGGACTTACGATCATACGTTACCCGACTTCCTGAACATATTGAATCAGAAACTAGACTTACGGTCATACACAACGTCAGTACATGTACTATGATGTGAATAAGGTAAAACATCAGATTTGTTTACTTTAAATGTATAAATAGTTTATTGGATTTTTGATAAAGGACGTTTAACATAAGTCTGACAATCTATCTGTTCCCCTACATGTAGAATGTAATCACCCACTAGTGGTCGTTACAGATCCATGAATTCCAACACCAGTCATGAAAGACAAAAGTCCCTATTAGAAAATGCTTCCTGTGGTTCGATCAAAAGAACGTAATGAAATTCAGTGATAATTCGATACTGACATAGATTCAATTCATGTGTCATCCGTTTATCTACTAGGGACACATGTTTTTCTGTGATACCAGACTGTCATTTATATCTATTAATAATAATAATAAACTTTATTGTCTGAGGATTACATATTTAGCCAACGGCTAATCTTCCATATGGTCCTCTTGTTAGTAAAATACAGTATATATGTGTTAGTTACATATTGTAAATACATAGTTAACCTGTAGTAAGAAAGCAAGATATCACAGATAACAATTTGGATTGGAATATCACAGGATGCATAAATATCATACATAATATTACATTAATTTAAACAGCTCCAGCCTTTTACACATATATAATAGTGTAGCAAAGAAAAATGAAAATGACATAAGAAAATACCAATAATATAAAAATATGTGTTTACAATGTTGACACAAAAAATACGCTGGAGGATAAACAGTTAATTTCGGGTTAAAAGTTTTATAGGTAAGACAATAGGATAGTAATCTGCTAAAATATTGAATAGACTTAAAACAGTTCTTTAGAGAATTTTATTATGAAATGTGATCATCAATGCTCCATGAGGTGATTGCTGAGGGAACGTTTGAAGGAGGCAAAACGTGTTGCTGTCCTTATCTCATTTGGCAAATTGTTCCAGAGTTGGCTTCCTGCAACTACAAAATTATTGCCATAAAACTAGGTACGATGTTTAGGAATATGTAAAATATTGCTATGGCTTGATCTTGTACATCTGGTATGGATATCAGACTATAAGTTATACAAACTACATAAATATTCTGGAACAAGATGATGGACACATTTGTATACCATTGAACCTGTCCTGTAGCGATAAAAATCAGCTAAAGGCAACCAGTTTAAAACACAAAACAAATCAGCAGATGGAGTGTCATATGGTACATCTAAAATCACCCTTGCTGCCTGATTTTGAGCTTTGTAAAGCTTTTGTGACAGATTTTTTTGAACATCCACTCCAGACTGTTGAACAATACAGGAAGTGGGGAAAAACGCATGCTTTGAAATATTTGATTCCAGCGTTAGTTCGAAGGTATTTCTTAATTCTTTATTTTTCCTATTACATAGTTGACATGATCTTCCCAGCTTAAATACTTATCAATTTTTACACCCAGCAGTTTAGCAGATTGTACATGGCCAAGCTCTGTATTGTTTAAAGACAGATCCAAGACATAATCATTTCTACTATGTTTCTGCTTTATGGTTATAACTATACAGTTTGTTTTGTAAGCATTAATAATCATTCTATTTTCAGTACACCAGTTTTCGACTGCATTTAGGTCACATTGTAATTTATTTTGGACATTTAAAATAGAAGAATCAGAAGCTGATAGAGTTGTGTCATCAGCGTACATATCAGTTTTACACTGTATTTCTAAGGGAAGATCATTTATAAAATTAGAAAATAAAAGAGGTCCCAATATAGATCCCTGAGGGACTCCATGAGTAATAGTCATGCTTTGGGACAATTCACCTGAAATACTTACTTTTTGTAGTCTATTTGTGAAATAGGATTTAAACCAGCTCACCGCTAAATCATTGCACTGGTAGAGTTTCAACTTTTTGGATTAAAACATGATGATCTACGCAGTCAAACACTTTTCTTAAGTCTAAAAATACAACACCATTTATATTACCTTGATCAACTTCCTGTGTCCATGAGGTAACAATATTCAATAAGGCAGTTTCACAGGAGTGATCTTTTCAGATTGAGAGGACACCAACAGGTTATTTGCACATAGATATTTGTAAAATTCACGGTGTACATGCCTCTCACGAATCTTAGATAATGCATTTAAGACAGATATGGGTCTAAAATTGTACACATCTGATTTAGATCCATTCTATAAATTAATAAAACTTTTGCAAGTTTCCAATCACTAGGGAACTTACCAGACTTTATACTCAGGTTACAAATATATGTTTATCTGTAGACACCCATTTATCTGTGACACCTGTTTGTCTGTGACACATTTATCTGTGATATCTGTCTGTCTTTAATATTTATTGGTGACACCTGTTTATCTGTGACACATTTATCTCTGATATATGTCTGTCTTTGATATTTATCTGAAACCTGTTTATCTGTGACACATTTATCTGTGATATCTATCTATCTTTGATATTTATCTGTGACACCTGTTTATCTGTGACACATTTATCTGTGATATCTGTCTGTCTTTGATATTTATCTGTGACACCTGTTTATCTGTGACACATTTATCTGTGTTATCTGTCTGTCTTTGATATTTATCTGAAACCTGTTTATCTGTGACACATTTATCTGTGATATCTGTCTGTCTTTGATATTTATCTGTGACACCTGTTTATCTGTGACACATTTATCTGTGATATCTGTCTATCTTTGATATTTATCTGAAACCTGTTTATCTGTGACACATTTATCTGTGTTATCTGTCTGTCTTTGATATTTATCTGTGACACCTGTTTATCTGTGTCACATTTATCTGTGATATCTGTCTGTCTTTAATATTTATCTGAAACCTGTTTATCTGTGACACATTTATCTGTGATATCTGTCTGTCTTTGATATTTATCTGTGACACCTGTTTGTCTGTGACACATTTATCTCTGATGTATGTCTGTCTTTGATATTTATCTGAAACCTGTTTATCTGTGACACATTTATCTGTGATATCTATCTATCTTTGATATTTATCTGTGACACATTTATCTGTGATATCTGTCTGTCTTTGATATTTATCTGTGACACCTGTTTATCTGTGATACATTTATCTGTGATATATGTCTGTCTTTGATATTTATCTGAAACCTGTTTATCTGTGACACATTTATCTGTGATATCTATCTATCTTTGATATTTATCTGTGACACCTGTTTATCTGTGACACATTTATCTGTGATATCTATCTATCTTTGATATTTATCTGTGACACCTGTTTATCTGTGACACATTTATCTGTGATATCTGTCTGTCTTTGATATTTATCTGTGACACCTGTTTATCTGTGTCACATTTATCTGTGATATCTGTCTGTGTTTAATATTTATCTGTGACACCTGTTTATCTGTGACACATTTATCTGTGATATCTGTCTGTCTTTGATATTTATCTGTGACACCTGTTTGTCTGTGACACATTTATCTCTGATATATGTCTGTCTTTGATATTTATCTGAAACCTGTTTATCTGTGACACATTTATCTGTGATATCTGTCTGTCTTTAATATTTATCTGTGACACCTGTTTATCTGTGACACATTTATCTCTGATATATGTCTGTCTTTGATATTTATCTGAAACCTGTTTATCTGTGACACATTTATCTGTGATATCTATCTATCTTTGATATTTATCTGTGACACCTGTTTATCTGTGACACATTTATCTGTGATATCTGTCTGTCTTTGATATTTATCTGAAACCTGTTTATCTGTGACACATTTATCTGTGTTATCTGTCTGTCTTTAATATTTATCTGTGACACCTGTTTATCAGTGAAACATGTTTATATCATTAACATGTTTATTTATTACATATGTTAACCTGAGACATATCTGTGTATGTATTATCTGTGACATGTTTTTCTGTGACACATGTTTATCTCTGACACATGTTTATCTCTGACAATGTTTTCCTACTTCTCAAATGCATAATGCACTATCTGTGACATGCAACTCTCTACTACTGTCAATAACACATATATTCTCACCTCTGTCTGTGACATGTTTCTCCCAACTACTGTCTGTGACACCTATCTCCCAACTACTGTCTGTGACACCTATCTCCCAACTACTGTCTGTGACACCAATCTCCCAATTACTGTCTGTGACATATACCTCACTACTACTGTCTGTGACACCTATCTCCCAACTACTGTCTGTGACACCTATCTCCCAA